CAGCTGTTGGCACAACTGCTTGGTAGAATGAGGGAGTTAGGATATTTACCAGACACTAGCACAGTCTTCCATGACATGGAGGAAGAGGAAAAAGAGACCAGTTTGGCTCACCACAATGAAAAGTTGGCCATTGCATTTGCCATTCTAAGCTTGCCAGTCGGAGTTCCAATTCGAATTATGAAAAACTTACGTGTCTGCGATGATTGTCACGAAGCAATTAAGTACATATCCAAAATTGCAGAGCGAGAAATTGTGGTGAGGGATGTTACCCGGTTTCATCACTTCAGAGATGGAGAATGTTCTTGTAAAGGTTACTGGTGATCAAGGCAAAAAGATTTTGAAAGCATTCATGTTGTATGAGTATATTGAATATGGTCCAGAGCGTCTTACAATGGATGCTGGGCATAGAAGAAATATCGGAAGGAAAGAAGATGACAATTTTTGTTAGCAGGGCTGACAATTTTGACATTTTTATATATGAGATAAAAGAAGATGATATGTTGACAATGTCTATGGGTGGATCATATCCAACATTCTTTTATTCTAATCTAACAGAATGGTAAAACCCTTTCTGAATCTAACTCTTTGGTGCATGATATCAATTATAAGTGGCACTCAAATGAAAAATAAAAGGTGCAGGTTGTGATTGATTGCCTGGAGAATGGTATTCCTCTTGTTTTTGGATTTCATACCATGGATTTTTCAATTGTTTCATTGCACTGGCTTCACTTATGCCTTGGTTTCATTGTGCAAATGTGATACTTTGGTCTGAACCCTACTCTCATTGTAGATACTAAATGTTGTTATTCACCTTGTGTTGCCTTCTTTTCACTTAAAATTTTCACTTAAACAGTATGTGATATATTTTGGTATTCAGATTCAGGTGAAATAGATATTTGGTTGGTATGATTTGGTCAAATAGAATTCCAATCAGTTTTAGTTCAAATTGATGGACTGGGTTCAATCTTTATATCAGTTAAGAATTTCATCTTAAAGTTTTATTCTGAACTATGTAAGTCAGTTCAGCTTGTTAGTGACTCATTTAAAAAATTTCTTATAGTTTTTGCCATGTGTGAGTGATAGAGTATAGCTTTCTTGTTTAAGGTTGCTTATATTATATAATCAATCGAAGTAGGTATTGGACTTCCGAGTTTGTGCATCTTAAAGCAGCCCAGTAAACATCAACATTCAATTTACCTGTGTTACTTAGCATGCATCCGTAAGCTTGCAATTATAGTGCTTTTTTTATTTTTTAAGTTCCACTCTCCATATGAAAGTTATTGCTTAAACATAATAGCCAGAAATTAGGCATGTGAATTTTGGGATTCGGCTTGAATAATCGCATATGATTTTTTATGTTTTTAAATACATTTTATGCTTACAAAGTTTAACATGCTGATGGTGTTGACTAATAGAAGGGTCTCAGTGTTGAACTAGAAATAGACTATATCCTCTGGACTAACTGTATCTATTCATTCCTATCCTAGTTTTTTTCCTTAGTCAGTCTGGCCTGATTTTGGTGAATTTAGACTAGATAAAAAATTATACCCACCTTTAACTACTTCAGGCTGAAGGATGCAAATGAGGTACATTTGCAACCTCATCCAGTGATATAAATTTCTAGAATGGTGATATTGTTGGTAATGCATTGTCTCTAGAGAGCAATTGGCAGATTTAAATTAAAATGCGGTGAGTTTTAAAAGATTCAGAAGTTAGATATTTGGTTTGCTCCAGATGGTAGTTAAATTCTGCATGTTTTTACCATATTCTTGTGAAGCCCAGAGACATACCGTCATTTTCCGATTAAGATTGTGTATCTCGGCAGTCTAATTGTGTTACTAGCCCAACCATGCACATGAGTTGAATGTGGCACCAAAGGGTGGATATTTTCAGCTTCCTATTTCGTTTGACTTCATATTTTACTTATATAATCCTTGATAACTATGCTGCCATTAGTTTTGTTTCACTTACCATCTTTCTATGTATCGCTAGTATTTTATAGATTTTTAGGGCTGTGATTAATCCTATTGCTGGTTTATTAATATTTTTTGGTCTTAGCAGATCTGCTTTATGGATTCCCCTGAATTTTGTTAGAAATTTGTAATGCACAACTAGTGTATTGTACTGTGGCTGTTGTACGTATATTCTTTTACATTAGTTCACATGCTGTTAATTTTTGGGTACCTGAGTGTGTACTATGATTTGAGCTGTGAGCATGCATTCACTTCTGGCGCCCAAATATCCATTTAGCTATGCTTTCTAGTGGAAAATGGACTGGAGAACTGAAAGCCCCATCCATCTGCATCTACTACTCCTTCGACAGAAAATATGATTCTGATCCATTGACTTCATTATTTTTGTCGCGCACATTTTTCATCACCAGACAACTTTATTGGTTGGTTTTTCTGGTTCTCCATCCTTTTCTACTTTCACACAAGCAAATAAATGAGTCTAACAGAATATAATCACGACCTTTTCTGTGATTAAGCATTTCGTCTGAACATTGTCGTGGGAAAATGTGCAGTTTGGCTTATTTGTTTGGGTTCCTAACAGAAAAAAGACATGTTTTGTTAGCGTAAAGAAGAATAATTATTATACATGCTTTTGACTCATGTTTTGCGTCTGTTGCAGTGGCTTTGGTGAAAGAAACAGATTCTGCATCTTTATATCTCAAACAAGCCTTTTTTGACGCACTATTCTCTTGGTGGTGTCATGATTCAGCATGATAGATTGTCTGCCACCATCGATGGTCAAGGTTGACTCCACGGCAACCACACATCTAAAATGGCACTAAGAACCAGAGTTCGGATGTCCATTTCAGACTCAACTAAGTTCGATCACTCAGAGCTGGTGGACCTGAAGGTACTACTACAGTAGATCGTCTAGGCTGTAGGATATGAGGTTCCTCAAACAAAACTATACTTAATTCAATTTTGATATGTGATTGTGCCTCAGACAAGAGTTTTTGGTTCTTCCATGGATGACCGTCTTTGTGGTTCCTGTCGCAGGCTGATGATCATGAGGGATAGTTGGCTTTGATCTTTGGCAATTGCAAGGCAGTATCAGGTGGTGCATGATGGTCTCCTGTACTTTTATTATTATTATTATTTTTAATTTAACCAATAATCGAACAATGATTTTTTTGTTTTACATGCGTTGTTTATGGAGACCATAAACAATTTGTGTCTGCAATAGGTAGGCCATAGATTCAATTTGTGTTCCTTTTTCTTATCCTTCTTTTGGCATTTCATAAAATATCGACAAGTATTCAGCAACAAGTGAAATCTGTTCTGCAGTCAACCTTATCTAATAGTTGGTGGAGATCATGGCATAATTGTTTTAGGTGGGACCACTGAGCAATTTGCTGTGTTTGTTTAGATATCTCTTGATAAGCATTCTTACAGAAAGGCTTTAGGGTGAGTTTGCTGTTAACAGCCTCCTAAACATAGATTTTTATTCTAAGCATCGTAGCATTTGCATGATAATGATTTCAACCTCCACCGTGCTGACTGAGTTTGAAGTGTAGACTTATACCCCCTATAATTTCTTTTTCTTTAGCTCAAAATGAATCCTTAATATATATTTCAGTTACTGATCATCTGGGGTTTCCTTTTAGGGCTGCTTCTTATATTTGTCTATAGAAACTTTGATTCTAGTTTGGTTGAAGTGCAGGGAGAATAATAGGTTTTGATGTCAGGTGGTGTCTGTCTTGTGGTGAGCCAAATGATTCTTTAGCCACGGGGAAGTATTCTTCTAGCATATTATATTGTATATGCCTAATTTTATAGTGACTCAGTCTCATATGAATGAATATTGAGGCCAATAATAAGCCTTTGATTTTTTATATTCCACGACTTTTATAGGGTGTAAAAGTTGAGGCCATCAATGATTTCAGGAATGCATCATCACCACTATTAATCAATCATCTGCACTTTGGAGAACCAAATTAATCTAAGTAACAAGGAGGAGATTATGTAGATGTGAATTCATGCGCTTACATTCTCATTTGGATATTAAAAATAGGTTATTTCGATTCCTTTTGATGAGCTGTGGCCTAATGGCATAGCAAGAAGAATAAGAAGAAGAAGAAGAAGAAGAGCCACCTGCGCCGCCGTCCCACGAATCCTTTTGATGCCCCCGTCGTGCCTCTGTTGGGCGGAGGTCGGCGCGCACTCACCCGTTAAATGTATCCACCCACGTTCGTAATCTCCTTCCTCTGTTGTCCTAATGGCAATGTCACCCATATGTTTAGCACACCATAAGCAAACGCACGACGTTTACTTTCCCGTCTCGGCCGAGCCACGAAACATGGAAGCTCCATGATGGGTGATCTCAACCGTCCACCTTGGATAACAAAACATGATGGGGTTCCAGATAGTTCCGATTCGATTCCAATTGAAACGGTTCATAAACCTGAATCACTGATCTAATTTTGATTTCCATCCGATCCATAAAAAAGTAAAATAAATTAATCCACCAAGATTTAAATCCGTCATTAGATTTGACGCCTAAAATCCTGATCACTACACCGCGAAACCTATTTATATTTTACTTTTTATTTTTTTTCGTATTTATCGTCAGTTTGATTCGATGCTGGTTTCGAGTTCTGGAAATCCAAACCGAACCGGCCAGTCGTGGTTCGATTTGGTTCCAGATGAAATCGAACCGCGATCACCTCTGCAACGACGGAAGGAAAGTGCGTTTCGTGGGTCCGGCGAGACACAGGATCTGTTGCTGGGGGGGTGGGAGAGGCTCGACACCTACCACCAACTCATAATGTGCTGGAATGCAGCAGCATCCCACACCGTCCCATTTAATCATCCTCTCTGTTGGACGGCTACGTGTCGGTTACCCTCCCATGGTGACAAGCAGTGAGAGAGAGAGAGACAGCCCCAAGAAGCCGTCAAAGCGCTCCTCGTAGAACTCACTCACTGTTGGAGAGTAAACTAATTCCATCTGCTCTGTTTCCAATGTGGCTTGGAATTCGGCCGTGGGAGGTCAACTGCTACGTCCCCCCCCTCTCTCTCCCTCGCTCAGGGCCACAGTAGAACAGATTCTTAGGCTCGGCGGTAACCCATTCGGATAAACGACGCCAGGCACATAAGCAGAGCATGTCAGTGTCTCCGCATACTGGAAACAGCTATCTCGGGCGGGCAGTACGTGGACCATCTCGTTCCCTCGCTCACTTGCATGGACCAACGTGGCTTGTTCTCCCCATGCTTTCCCTGTTTCTTGCATGGATCGTTGCCACAATATAGGCACCACTGTCATTGAGCGAGAGAGTCAGTTGTACCACGGAGCACACCGGCTGACAACCAAGCCTGATGGGTCGTAATAGATTTAATGGGGCGAGTGTGATGGTCTGCTACCGACTGCTGCTGGGAAGATGGAAGGGATCATTCCCCTCCCCTGAGGAGTCGTCCCCAGTAGAGTTGATGTCCTTTTCTGCCGTCAAGATATATCCAGTAGCACAAGAGTGTCAGAGGGTCTCCATGAGGTCCAAATGCATGCATCCGGCCACCCTCCCTTCCCTTTATATACCCCGACCCAGCTTCTCTCCCACAGCACACACACCCCCCTCCGAGTGTAAAGAGAGCAGCAGCGGCTGCCCCCCCACCCCCCCACCCCAAGCAGAGCAGGGAAGACGGTAACACCATGTCTTCGATCACTCCCAATTCTTCTGCCTTCGCAGCTGCTGCTGCTGCTGCTGTGACCATTGTATCCAAGTGCACGGTGTGCCCCGACAGCGACTCCTCCCTCGGCGGTCTCCCGCTCTCCGTCTCCGACCTCCCCATGCTGTCTTGCCACTACATCCAGAAGGGACTCTTCTTCCCCTCTCCCCAGATGCCCATTGCCTCGCTGGTCTCCCTCCTCACCTCCTCCCTCTCCGGCGCGCTGTCCCTCTTCCCCCCCCTGGCCGGCCGCCTCTCCACCCTACCCGACGGTCGCATCCTCGTCTCCTGCAATGACGCTGGCGTCGAATTTGCCTACGCCACCGCCTACTCGCTCACCCTCCCCGACCTCCTCCCCCCCTCCTCCGATGTGCCGGCGGCGGTCAAGTCGCTCTTCCCCCTCGACGGCGCCATCAGCTTCCACGGCCATTTCCGCCCGCTCGCCTCTTTCCAGCTCACCGAGCTCGCGGACGGCGCCGTGTTCCTCGGCGCGGCCGTCAACCACGCCGTCGTCGATGGGACCTCGTTCTGGAACTTCTTCAACGCGTGGGCGGAGCTCTGCCGCCGCGGCTCCCCCTCGCCGCCAGACTTTCGCCGAAACTACTTCGGCGACTCTAAGGCGGTGCTTCGGTTCCCCGGCGGACGCGGCCCCGAGGTGACGTTTCCGGTGGACGCGCCGCTTCGAGAGCGGATCTTCCGCTTAAGCCGGGAGGCCATTTTCGAGCTCAAATCGAGGGCCAACGACGGCTTCGCAAACGTCGCGGCCGTCGGTGATCCCAACGCCGAGATATATGGCAAGCAAGTCCACGACCCGAAGGCGGTGATGGCGTACAAAGAGGAGCAGATCTCTTCCTTCCAGTCACTGTGCGCCCACGTGTGGCGGTCCGTGACGCGGGCTCGGAAGCAGCTGCCGCCGGAGGCGATGACGACGTTCCGGATGGCGGTGAACTGCCGGCACCGGGTGGAGCCCCAGGTGGCGCCCGACTACTTCGGGAACGCGATCCAGAGCATCCCAACGACGGCGGCGGTGAGGGAGGTGGTGGGGCGGGACCTCCGCTGGGCGGCGGGGCTGCTGCACCGCAACGTGGCGTCGCATGGAAACGAGACGATCCGACGTGGTGTGGCGGTGTGGGAGGCGGCGCCGCGGTGCTTCCCACTGGGGAACCCGGACGGGGCGGGATTGACGATGGGCAGCTCCCACCGGTTCCCCATGTACGAGGGAAACGACTTCGGGTGGGGCCTCCCGGCGGCCGTTCGGAGCGGCAGGGCGAACAAGTTCGACGGGAAGATGTCGGCGTTCCCTGGTAGGGAGGGCGGGGGTAGCGTGGAGTTGGAGGTGTGCCTGGCGCCGGAGACCATGGAAGCGCTCCTCCGTGACGAGGAGTTCATGAGCTACGTCACGGAGTAGAGCGGCTGCGGCGGAGGCAGCAGCAGCGACGAAGCCGTCGCACCGTCTCACCGTCCCGCGTCGGGGCCAGAAACTGTCGATCAACTGCTCCACGTTATATCCACACGTCCGCTGTTTTAACTCGTTCCCCGTCTTGGCATTTTGTTTGCTCTCCAGCAAGTGTCTGGGGCTTAGTGTGTTGCTTCTGCTGCTGCTGCTGTGTCGGTTGGGTTCCCTCAAGTCTAATCTCGAGTTGGTCCGCGTCCTCTTCCGGTATAATTTGTTATGTATGTCGAAGCTTATCCTCTTCTTCTTCTTTTCTTTGGACGTTTGTTTCCCACCGAGTATCTTTCCGAGGAACTTTTCCGCCCTTTTCTGGGCCCATCAGACAAGTTGCAGAGCTGCACAAGTCAAAACGACGAACAGGTTGCTGCCTGCCTCGAGACGATACCGGTAGATGCTGCTTCAGAACCAGAACAATTACTTACCGTCCTCGCCAATTCACAGGGTGTAATATCGATCGACAGGCCACAACAGTACATCTGCACATCCATCGGATTGGTCCAATCCCCTTCCGCCACAATGATACAGCGGAACTGCGCATCATTAGCGTGGCTTCTACTTCTCCATCGAATCGATGTGAGGCTAAACTTACTTGTCAAGTCCGTTGATATCAGCAACAAATGGCAAAGAGACATAACATGTTAGCAACAATATTTAAAGGAAAAGCTTCTACGGAAGTGGCCTAACCTGCTGCTGTTGCTAGTAGCAGCTGATGGCACCAAAGATCAGCAGCACTGAACGATTGGGCTCCACCAACCATCTGAATATATAGCTGCGTATGTATCTGTCAATGCGCTAAAGAGGATGACAAGCTAATGATGCACAAATTTTGTTAATGAAGCTCAAACTAGCACAAGTGCCAGACATCACTCGACCACTAGCACAATAAAAGTAGCACTTTTAAACCGATGTTTAAAGTGCTACTTTTGTTGCTGAAAATTAGGAGAAACAAAGCTACATGGATTGATATTTTCAGCAGTCACAAAGGAAAAACAACTATGTATCTACTAGATTTTGTTATTTTGACACATAAACATGCGGCTTTCTTTCGAGCATTACACTGGAATGCTTCTGCAAATGTGAAAGGCAAGATTGAGCATTACACTGGAGTTCATTTTCTCAATGAACCACATGCAACATGACATAGGACCAAAAACACTCTACAATTTAACAAGGAATTGACCTCCAATGGTTCTGTTAGTTTATGATAGGTGCTCCTCAGTTGCAAGCAGTTTGCTTGATAGAGAAGAAACATTGGCCAGCGAGAATAGCATTGCTTTTGTCCTTACCAACAACATCAACTCTGATGTAGAGGTAATGGACACATTACACCAATTCTAGTGAAAGATGAAAATTATATGTTTGGTGACAATAAATTCATTACCAGTAGCACGTTCATGTGAAGAAGCCAACTCACTTTGGAAGGAACACAAAGCATCTTGGCAATTGCCAGAGCACCAAATACCTGAAATACTATAAATTATTCTGAGGACATCATGCATTAGAAATAAGTTAATCATGTATAGAAATGCTTTTCGATTGATATTACCATAATTCATAGTGAAGATGCATGAATAATGTGTGGTTTGAAGTTTGCCCTAAAATTATTCTGGGGTTTGGTGCCAGTGAGAGTGCAACCCTTTTTTTATACCATGGGCAAGGAAAGCTGCAAATAGAACTCAAGGCAGAAAACAAGTGAACAATGGAAATAAAAAAGAAAATTGATAGAGAATGATTGCAACCAAAAGAAAAGTATGACCCATACCACCCATACTGGTACCATACCATCCAAATGCGTTAATCGTTGGCCCGGCAAAGTGTTGTGGACTAATAAAAAACATTTATTTCCTATTTTCTGCTTTTGAATAATATATCTTCTATGATACATATCATAGAAGTACAACCTTGTTCGAGAACATCCTCAGATAGGAAGCTTGTAGGAAAAGAAACCTAAATGACAAGGTCATTAGAGGTGGTGACAATTTCAATGCCATCAAAATGATCCAAAGATGTGTCTTCGTGAGAGTAAGCTTGGAACATTAACATAATCCCGGGATCCAATCTATGGAGTCTTTAAGTAAACTTGTGTGTGGCTGACCTAAAGAAGAGAATCTTACAAAATGAGCTTCAATTGTTACTAGGACATGAATAATATATCTTCTATGATACATATCATAGAAGTACAACCTTGTTCGAGAACATCCTCAGATAGGAAGCTTGTAGGAAAAGAAACCTAAATGACAAGGTCATTGGAGGTGGTGACAATTTCAATGCCATCAAAATGATCCAAAGATGTGTCTTCATGATAGTAAGCTTGGAACATTAACATAATCCCGGGATCCAATCTATGGAGTCTCTAAGTAAACTTGTGTGTGGCTGACCTAAAGAAGAGAATCTTACAAAAGCCTAGCATGATTACATCACCGATATACTTTACTCTACAAGATGAGCTTCAATTGTTACTAGCACATGACAATTTATACACATCAAGAACTGGAGCCTTAAGTTTGATTACCTCCATGAACCAATAACTTTAGCACTATGGAATTCCTGAGGCACCCGCTTCGTGATTTCGTCACAACGAGCACCTGCAAGAAGCAGTATAAAGGCGATCATTAGATGTTGGTATCAAAGAAGCTGTAAGACTTCTCTCTTTATTTCAACTAATAGGCTCTTTTGCACACAATAAAAGACCAAAACAAATCTAAGGTTTCAATGATACTGTATGCTCTGGTTCGCAATCGAACTATGTAGAACAAATACCGCAAGTGGAACTGAGAAATAGTTGCCTCACTCCCCGATTTTATTTGGAGGACGCTAATTATCCTGTTTTGGCGATCATCAATTATGTCGAACACACCCTTCGACTTGCTCTTCAGCCTGTCAAGGTTCCTCCGATCGGGCTGAGTTGGGCCTAAAGTACGATCGCAGCTTCCATCTCGAAAAGCCAATTGGCGCTACGACACAGATATTACTTGGAAAGCAAACTAGGAACAAATTCAGGAACGCAAAGCCGAGATAAAGAACTCGTCCAAGAAAGAGCAGCGTCCGAATCGTCCACTTCAAGAACCAAGAATCAAAGATTTCACGATATCAAGTAGGAGCGAGCGACCGAGCGAGCGAGCGAGAGAGAGAGAGGGAGAGAGAGAGAGAGCAAGGACGGAAATCCAAGAAACCCACATAGAAAAGGGAAAAAAAACTGACGCGCAAGGAGGAGTTTCGCCCGAGAGAGCCAGGCGACGGGGTTTGGAGACGGCGTCGGCATCTCTCGATACATGTTATGTTATAATACCCGCTCTCTCTCTCTCTCTTTCAGGCTACACTCGTTCGGACACACGACCTGCCTCTTTCGATGTTCCGTTCACCCTGTCTTGGTTAAAAGGTGGGCATGGGTTTGGGGACGTCTCCCTTCTCTAAACTAGCTTGTTGTACGCGTATTATGCGACGCGCGCACATTTGATTTTAAATATGCCAGAGGCGGCGGCAAAGGTAGTTAGGCATTAAATAATGCGCCGAGGGGATATCACGGGTGACTCGCTCCGTTGGAAGTGCGGAGCCCACTTTGTGACCTTTTTTATTTGACAACAAAACGAAATATACAGCTCCTTCTCCCTTTTTTTTTTTTAAACAAGAAATCCTTACTTAGTCCAATGAGAAAAATATGTAAAACATTTTACAGGGAAAAGCAATAGATACCATTAGAGAATGCGCATGGCCATGGCCAAGATGCCATTAGAGAACAAAAAGCAATAGATTATTAAACACCGCATGTGAATGAAGGAATACATGAATCAAACTTATAAAAGGAGGAATACAATTCGTAGAACAACCATGTACTTCAGCTCCCCAAATCATCCTAGTAGAAGACCAATGATAATAATAAATAACCTTGTGTCAGTTCAGTTGGCGTCAACTATATAGATAGATGTTGATGATCTCCCTAGTCACATATTAATACCAAACACGAAACAATTTTATAAACTCCCTAGTCATATACTAGTATTTTTGTTTTTTTTGTTTTTATCACTAGTCATATTAATGAGTTTTCTTTTCCTCGCCCTTTTTCAGATACCTGATGTAACCCATCCGTTTTCTTTATGCCTGCTCCTCGTACCCACATGGTCAAACACCCAGTCCAACATCGACACTCGACACTGAACCAAAGAGAAAAAAAGTAGTGAAATCCGACCGATAACCTCCCCTATGATCAGATGTTCGACCACATGGGCCTAACCCGTTGGGATTTGATCTGCTTAACATGACTCTCATACACAGGCACATCTGTGTTTCGTAACAGGTACGTACCCCCATCATGCTCGAGACACTGATGATGTACGAACGCGAGATGGATCCGATTCATCATACCGGACGTTAACCTGCATGTAGTAAGAAACTCACAAGGCTTTATGCAGTACGCCCCGGCAAAATGATCGTCTTGCCCATGGACCCAAAGCAAAGCGCTCTCGCTCGATGGAAGCTTTGAAATCGATGCACGCCATTTCAGAAAGAAGAGGGGGAGGGGAATGGGGCGGGTGCGCACCTCAAAAGAAACGAGATCGTCTCGTGAAAGTATCACGACCCTTTCCTCTCTGACCGTCCCCTTCTCCTCTGGGGGCTTTGGGCTTTCGCTTGCTTCAAGGCTGATAAGATTCTCGTGCCATCGACCAAAGCATGACTCCAAGTATATACCAGCCCAGTCAGTGTTCCACAACGACGCCCACTTTTAGTCCACCACTGCTGCCAGTCTCTTCCATCAAGCGAGCAGGCAGGCAGGCATCGTCTGCTCACTGACAGTCCAACCCACTTCCTTCTCTGTAGTCTCTTCAACGCTCCCTTTTTTCCCTTTCCCTTTGGTGTTCTCTTGGCACAGTGCGGAAGCCTCGCCATAAATGTCTCGCCGCCTGCCCTCCTACGGCAAGTCCGTTCTTGGACGCCAGATCAGATGTTGAACAAGAGCGAGAGGAGCGTCGGCTTCAGCCTCGACAGCAATATCCATGCGAAGCCGACGGTCTCTCGAACGTCCGACATCCATTTCGGGGATCAGGAGGAGGATCGCGGACGCAGGGGCTTCTCATCTCGGCTACTCAACAGCGCACGCCTCTCGGCTATACGATTCTTCCGCAAAACGTCGAGGGCCTTAGACTTCATCTCCGGAAGCCGGCGGCAGCCACCGTCCAAGGTTTCTTCCAGCATGACTCCACAGAGGTTCGCTGCTCCTGAAGAGACTCACCTGTCGGAGGCCATCGAAGACTGCATCAAGTTCCTCAACTCCTCGTCGAGGAGGTCGTGCTAGACTCGCCATGCAAACCCCACGATTTACAGCTGAACCAGCAATTTTCTGTTTGCTCTTTTATACCACAAAAGTATACCCCCAACCCGCCTTCTCACTCTATAAACAGCAGTTCTACCATTTTGTTCTTCCACGACTCCTGAGTTCTCAATCTCCCAGGAATCGATTACTAACACTGCAGAAAATAACACTTTTTTTTTTCCTCCTTTATCTTTCGATGTGGAAACCGGAAACAATCAATAAATTGATGACAGAAAAAAAATGAAGCCTGAGAACTTACTCGTTCGATTCCCATTGGCACCATGCATTTAGGCTGTGCCCAAAACTCTACGCTTGCAACATTTTACTGCTTCAGTGGCCAGGAGCAGATGCACAAAAATTTAGCAATGCTACTGAACCTACTTCCATTATCCAGGAAAGAAAGTGAGAGAGGTTACATACCAGAATTAAGAAAGAGCTTGTCAATGTGAAGGCGGCGCTGTCAAAGGCTGTACAGGAACCAAAGGCTTGTAACACCGACCCTCTGAAGAACTTGGGGGCCCAAGTCCCCCACATGCCAAAAATGGGATGTAATCCTCGTTTGGCCCCTCCAACCCCACCCCACTTTGGCACCCTGTCAACACATTATCCAAAATCTTTCATTGAAGATGGATGACACATCACAAAAACATCTCAACAAACCTTTCCAATCCACCAGTAGGAGATGTACAAACTTTAGAAATTGAAATTTCACCTTAATAAAGAGTGCTTTATTTTTATATGACTACCTATAGAAGTTCAAGACCATTACATAACAGGATCATACTAAAGATGGCAACTCAATAATAGACAAAACCTATTTTGATATACAAACTTCAGAAATTAATTTTTTTGTCGTAAAAATAAGTGATAAAAGGCGAGATCTGAACCCCGGACTTTGCAATAAACTGAAATAAGTAACAGGATTATACTAAAGATGGCAACTCAACAATAGACAAAACCTATTGAATGAAATATAATAAAACTAATGATAGGGACAGAGGCTTTTCGACAGAGGTAAACCAGAGCACTGAAGGCAGATATTTGCACAAATATTGGTTGGAAGAGAGAAAATTTTATCTTCAGTTTTACAAACAATAATATCTAGCTTCATGAGTACTCAAGCCACTTTTTAAGTTCTACAGGGTATCAATTGTCAATATCAAAGAAGAAATTACAGACGCAAAGCTTTCCACAATGTTACATATCGATGATTACAAGTCGTAGGACACTGAAATTGATATCTAATGAAATTAAAAGATCCAATCTTAAGAAAGCATATTCCTAGCCAGGAAAACTATCAATCACATCATGGATATGCAATGAGGAGAACATCAATACACTTGAAATTTGTTCTTTTATCCTCTGAAATACTTTGTTAACATCCCTTTTTTCAAAAAATATTATATGGCAAGTCAAGTAAATCAAGATCTTGAACAGAAGATCATCCAATGCACATATATTCATATTAAAGTTGCGTCATCAAAAAATAGATAACATGACATCAATATCTTTTCTCAATGCACATATCCTGGATTTACAACACAATCATCCCACGACAAAAGGTTGCATGATATAGATGCTCCAGAAATTTGCACAACCAGAACAAGAAGAGATCCAAATGCATCGCACGTAAAGTATGGGTTTTCATAATATTCATAACTCTATCTACAAGCAGAGCAGAGCATCAGGTAGGCCTGTGAATCTCAATGCATTCAAATGAACCTTCCACATAGCACCAATGTAATAAGGGACCAGTGCTGCCGGTGTATATAAGCATAGTTCCAACAAGGTACCAGCATGGCACAGAAGCGTATGCCATGTCAGTACATCATGAATGCTGATGTGTGCAGCATGCAACAAACATGATCAGCACGTAACAATTTTGTTATCCAAAGGGCCTTGCAACATGACAGTTAGTTCCATGATAAACAGCACAGACAACCTTCAAGCATAACCTATAGTATCTGTTTTAAATAACCAATGTGATTTCTGATATCATGCAAAACAGTGTTCCACAATGACATGCAGCCGTAACTATACTCGAGTTATAGCTACTTTTTGGCTATGCAAACCTAACATGAGAAGAGAATAGTTTTAGCTGCGTGAGGAACAAACAATAAGTTCATGATGCTGGAAACAACATAATAGCAACAAACTATATTTAAGGAAAAACATACATTAACAGAAAAATAGGTTGTTTTATTGAGCCTTTAGATTCTCTCTGTTACAGCAGTCCTTGTTCTTCAATCCATTTCTTTTATCTCCATGACTAACAGCATTCTCGCGGATGCATAAGCTTCATCCGCAACTGATAGACCTTCCAATCCATCAGTTGGCCATCAAGAGTATAAGGTCCTTTACAGAATTTACTGCAGAAGAATAAGGACCTAGCTTAAAAGGGCTACTTAGCTTCAGATGAACTAACAAAAAAAAATGTCAATTCTCCCAAGCATCGTCCTTGACAACAAGTTTTAAGGTCTGTAGCATGCTACATTTAATGATACAAGTTTCAATGATGATGGTGAATCAACAAAGTCAGGTCGGCAAAGTCATAAACAGTAATGACTAGATGTCCTTTTAGATATGCCTTTTAACCTAACTTCAGATCATAAAGAAAAAAAAATTGTACTCCATATATCTTCCGCCTTGCTTCTTTTTTATCCACTACATCTTCCAATATCCTTAATGTTCACTTTGCAGTTTATCATGCATGGATAATTGACAATAGTCACAATACAAGGAGTTTAATTCTTGAATTAAATAAAAAAATGGGCAACTCCAGTGTACCTATGCTGATTGCAATATTTCCTGTATAATTCTCCAATCCTGAATACCAAACATACACTAGAACCCTATGGTTGGGCTGCAACACATGCAAGTTGGGTTGGATTGGGTTATGGATAAACCCTTCTCCAACCTGCTCGTTAGTTGTAATATGATCTATATCTCACACCAAACCAAGCTACCACAAAATCCATTTCAACTTTTACCAATCAAGCCGCCAGACTAAGCAAAACCAGCTGTAGTTGTCTTCTAGGTGTACTTAGCCAGAGGTAATCTCTATAAAGTCTGAACCAGCTAATTCAAAGTAAGTTTGTGAAGACCTCAAGAGCCTTTTTCAGGTCAAGGACAATGGCTTGAACTCTGATGAAAAAGAAATGAAATAATAATTATAGGTCAAGTCTCTTTTTATTTTTTCCTCACAGAATGGCCTCAACTTTATCAATTGACCTTAACAATCAGAAATTGTATCCCCCATGACTCGTCATCTGTAAGTAGAATTTTCTAAGAATCCATCAATCAGCCAATGTTAAATCAAAAACAAAGATAGAAGCAATGCTTGTAACATTGATGAGCTCCGTGAATGATTTTGCCACAAGGTTTCAGCGGAAAGTTCTTTGTTGCGAAAAATGAACATCCAAATAGCAATAATTGTTGAGATCCCAAAAGATCTTCTGCAGTAACGAATATAATGCAGATGTGGACAACAAGCAGATAAAGTTGTTATTTAAAGAAAATGGAATGCCAATTCGATGTGAATTGGTTATTTGACGAAAAAATTCAATAAATATGTGTTATACTCACAAAACTTCGAACTCTTGCTGAAAACTGCGTTAGGTTGCAGCTCCAATCAAGAACCGTAACGTCGAACCCTTGAGCAAACCATACGGCACCGTTGATGGTTGAATCCGATGTTACATTAGTCTAATCGGTAAAACCTTAACTCCTCGTCCGTCTAAGGGCCCTTGAAAGCACTCCAGGGGCGCCATCCATCCTCCTTCGCCTTCCGGGAGTACATATCCTGCAATCCAAGGCGAACGAGAACGCTGAATGATCAACGAAACGACGCGAAGAAAAAAACCCTCACGATAAGAAAAACCGCCGATGGGGAAAAGAACGAGAACGCTGAACGATCAAAGGAACGCCGGGAGGTAGAAACCCTATCGAGCAAAGAAACCGTCGGTATGCCAAGGACGGTCGTCGCTTTTAATGGCCTGTACACATGTACATGTTAGGGCTGTGTCTTTTATCACATTTTTATGTGTTTTGCATCAAAACTATAAACAAGATCGGTTTATAAAATTTGGAGTGATCACTCGTCAAAATAGGTAAAATGATCTTAAAATAACTCAGGTTTTATGTATCGTAACCTATTTATTTTTATAGATTATGATATAAAAAAATATTAATCATCTCAGCACCTAAAAAATTCGTGGGTGATATCAGGGTGGATAGAAGTTTAGGATAGTGTTAAGTATTGATTGGATTCACAAGTTTACATATTAAGTCTATGAAAATTTATCAATACGCTCAACATCTAGTGAGCAGTTATTTACGAAATTATGATATTTCTTTTATGACATCGAGAGCGAATGATCTTTTATGAACACTCAATAGCCCTCGTAAGGTGACTGTCACTCCCAATGACCGACTGTGTTAGGTTTGAAACTTTTAAACCTATAAATCTGGTATCAAAGAATGAAGTACTCATATAGGATATCCTTGGTGTCTCAAGTCTAAGGACCATGTATACCACTAGGACAACAAAATCAGTATATGATAATAAGGTGTTATTAACCATCCAGCATTATTAATCAATGAACTCATTCTCCAATAAGCACATGCATTGTAGCTTTAGTGTTTCCACATGAGCAGCTATGAGATCAATTGTCTTCATTATATTGACGGATATACAATACACCAATCTCTCCGGTTATCTCGATGTCCCTTTCAAGTAATATATGAGCATAATTATTTATGGTCTATGTTTAAAGGTGAATTGGTCTCATTATTATGATCTCATTACGATCTGATTTCTATTGCATAAATTCATTGACATTATAATATATATGCAAATATGCAATAAGTAATACAAAGTGATAAAATATCAAAATATAATAAGCAAAAAAAATGTGTATCATGTCATACGTGTCATCACTCATGTGATTGGTTTACAGGGCATCTATGACTGGCAGAGCTATACATCCAACAAGAGCCCCTTCGAGATCATTACGAGATAGTAATCGTCGACTCCTTACACCTTAGAGATTGGTTATACTAGGAGTAGTCTGTTAGCATATCATTTTGTAAAGGAATGATATTGAAACATAGATATTATGTTGACTTACTTAGAGAAGGCAACTAAAAAGATAATAAAATGAGCATATTTTGAAAGGTAATCATAGGAGTTTAAAGTTGGCGACCTAGTGTTATTGAAGTTCCAACTAGTATCACTTTAATTCTTTAGACATAAAGTACATAAGGAGTTGATGCGTAAGTATAAATGACTCTTCCTAATTATCAGCATCGTAGATAATGTCTATTTCAAGTTGCAACTGTCGACGTGACTCAAAATTCACAATGTTTTCCCCATAAGTAACTTAAAAACATACGATTCAGATCCGTAAAATACTTCCCAAAGTATTCCAACTTGGCTACTCCCCACAAGAGTCTCTTGTGAAAAACGAGTTGAAACTATTTTAATGGATCACAAGACAAAGCTATCTAATGGAGTAGTACAGATCAAATACTTGGTGTAGTGAAAAAAGCTTCTTTGAATAGAAGTTCCTTAGGAGCTTAACGATGCTTTATAACATGAAGAAGCAATCGTCAAAGTCTACTAGCAAGCATTTATAAAGGTATCGACAGTTTAAGTGAGAAAAAATTATCATGGATGATCATTGCACACATACAATACCTTTATCAACGAACCATTCATTACTTTTGCTTACTTGTATATATGTTTAGGCAATGTATTTTATCTCATTGTTGTGTGTTTTGCTTGAAAATTGTAAGTAGGAATTATTTGCAAGACTATAAAGTGATAGCGTATCAGAATAGGTAAAACTATACTAGAATAATTCAATTTTTTTGCATGTCATAGCCTATTTTCTATAGATTGTGGTGCAGAGAAAAACGTCAGTCATCTCAGCACTCCAAAACTTTAAGGGTGACATTTGAGTGGATGAGAGTTTAGGATAGTATTAGGCATTAATTGGATTCACAAGTTTGCACGTTAAGTTTATAGGAACTTGCCAATGTGCTCGACACCCGTTGAACAATCGTTTACGAACTTACGATTATTTATTTATTTATTTTTTTAAAATTACTTCCTCCCTTACACACCAAGTATTTGTTAAATTGGTTATAAAAGTATCTTTTTGGCGAAATATTAAGATTTATCCATCATTTATTTTTGAACTAATCAATTTATTCTTTTATAAATCCTTCAAAGTTATAATTAAATTGACCTCTTGAGAACGGATAACATGTAGCTCATAACTTAAATAATCCTAATAAAATCTATGATATTATTATAAAAATACATCGTAACTTAAGACAATTTCAACTAAGTCTATAATATTATCACAAGTACACAAGTCCGTTAAAGAAAGCGAACGTGAACAACAAACCCGCCAGCATGGAAACCGCCCGGGAGTGAAGAGCACGAGAAAGTGGAGCGATCAACGGAATGACGCCAAAAAGAACCTATAGCGAGCAAAGAACCCACCGGAGGGCAAAGCGTACGCGAACGACGCCTAGAAGGAACCCTAGCAAGCAAAGAAACCGCCGTGGGGGAAGATCATACCCTCTAGTCCTTGGATCACAGACAAATGGGCAGAGCTCGTCGCCCTGCTATCGATCTCCGGCGGAGAGTTGATGGAGGATCGGGTTTTAACGAGGCGACAGGATTAGACTCCGCGGCTGAAGGGACTCCGAACCGGAAGCCACCGGCACCTACCTCTCACAGACCTGATTGATGGTGCTCGTGAGTCCCAATCATTCGCACGCGTGTCGTACGTTGCGTGCCGTTAAAGAGCTCCATCAGCACCTTCACCTGCTCCGTCGTCAGGTTCCAGCGGCCGCACATGGTGCTCGCCATCGTCGCACCGAAGCCCTCTTCCATCTCCCTCAACCTTTTTCTACGCAACCCTACGAGTCCTGAAATCGATAGATCCGAAGGCAGCAACTTGTACAATTGGAAGAGAAGGATCTGGCGGCAGATGTTGAAGCCGATCCAACAGACACTGCCGAGGGTTCGAGTTCGGAGGTCTCTCGGATTCCTAAACGAGAGTCAGAAGAACCGGAAACCGATAACTTGGGGAGTTCACCATGATCGGTTGCCCTCTCTTTGTAGAGAGACACCTCCGGTGGGTCGTCCTCCTCTTTGCCTTCAGCAACTGCAGCTGCGAACGAAGACTTGGGATCTGATGTATAGTGATCAGACGCATGCATTCCAAATTCTCCGACAATATCCAGAGTTAGCTTCACATGGAGAAAGATGATGCATTCTTTTCTCTGTACTAAACCATTGAATAAACATGTACATGGCAAATATACATGACAAAACTGGCATCTATTTGACATGCATACGGAGAGAGATCTTAGCCTAAGGAAACCATTGGTTTCAGTAGTTACCCCAATGCGAGGAAGCTGTTGATGAAGATTGTATGTTAGCGAGAGCAAATGCCTTTTCTTGTGCTGCTTTGCTTTCCACGAATGCTCAGTAAGAAAAGAATCAGATTTTGAATCTTCAACTCAAGGTCTCTTTGGATTTGTCTCAGGATATGCAGAACACTAAAGCTCAATCAAGAATCTTCTCCCCGGTCGAAAAGAGGTTCCAGACCACAGTTCCGGCAATGTAGAGTGTTACTGAAACTTTAAACACATCATCCCACGAACCTGCGATTTCTTTACATGTTAGTATCTGATGAAGAAAATTGCAACAATCACATGCTAGTGTGACACTTTTTTCACTGATGGCATTTAGTATATTGGCACCGCATTTACGGGGGAGAAAATTTATGGAATGGTTAAAATGATAATGTTAAGTCAAACCAACTCTAAGATAGTGATGGATCACTAGGTCAACCGAGTGCAATCATCAGATATATTTGCTCTAAAAGAAATTGTTAATCGTTATCGGAATGTGAAAATTAGTTGCATATATTACTGACTAGACTATTCTCAGTCTCTGCCTATCTAACTAGGCTGAACAAAGAACATAAGCTGAAGAGAAAACGGTATATATTTTAAGTAGACGATATTCAAGAGCACACGAGGAAAATCTCCACAAATTATAAGGAATGGTTAGGCTTTCTGTGGTTTCATACTAATAAAGGAAACATGAACAAACCATGTTGCAGAATGTAGCCTGTAGCTGCCGTCCCAAAGACACCAGCTAAAACCCCGGCTGTGTTTGAAAGACCAAGAAGCACACCCTGCAAAGAGCACTCAAATGTTATCTTCCTTCTTTAGGAGCATATATGATTGACAGAAAAATGAAAAAGCTGTAGAAAAAAACTGGGCAACTTTTGATGGGACTATTAAATCACTTTGATATAAAGGGATATATGTGTGCAAATAATTAGAAATAGTTACAGCATAGCGAGGACCAATATCTTGGTGGTTAGAGTACAGGCCAGATTGTGAAAATGCATCGGTTCCCTGATCAAAATATACAAGTTAATCATATAGAAGTTGAAAACATAGATAAAGGAGAATGGACATGACTACTGCTAACAGGAATATACCTGACTGCAAGCCATGCATAATATTGCCATTGCAGGAGAGTGGACATGACTTAACTGAGTCAAGAAGAAAGCTGGACCAAGGAATCCAATTGATTGCATGATCTGAACAGAAGCAGACTCGTAAACAAAAAGGCAATATTCAGACATAAACAGATGAAAGAAAAATCCATGCACAACTGCAAAACTGTTGATTTTGGCTATTAAGTGATACATCCATGACAATCAAGGCAACATAGTGAGAATTGAGAACCAAACGAAATACTAGTATGAGCTTGTGTAGGTGCATGCGTATGTACATGTGTAGATGTACATTTACCTGGACAAAGTTTTATATGAATGTGCATATGGATGGATTGAATGTTGACTGATAAAGACTGAACTCAATATCAGCAAGGCATTTGTGTTGAGTTTAGGTCATGCCAACTGGCGACATGGTTGCCTTGGTTCAGTGCAGCCTAAAATGAATCTCATGCACCAATCCATGACGAGCAGCGTGTCTTTCCACAACAATATTGATATATCCCCTTACCATGAAATTTAAAACATTGTGCAGAAGTACTTGTGTTTGTCTCAAGCATAATCACTGTGACGGAGAAAGGTTAGGTCAGAATGTGTAACATTATATGATCTATCACTTCTAAGAGTGACCTTAGGAGTTGACAATAATGATCTAACAACTTCAACGACCGAAATCAAGGAAAAACAGATAACTATTATGGACTATAGATCCAAATGTGCATTAGCCAGAACTCAAAGAAAAATGTATTTCTAGGATTTTGTGGCATCTTAATCATTTGAAACGCACAACAAAGCTTGCTTCACATATATTAACATATATCAATAGAAAATTTTATTGTTATTTTTACATGTACCCATAATATGCCAAGCAGGCCTTGTAGATAACTCGTCCTCGAATCTCAGGGGAGCTATGGCTCCTCCTTTAGCCTAAGGAATAATAGATCATGTAGTAGAAAGACTAGTCTTAGGAAAATATATATAAACCATCATTTCCTTGACTTTTATGGTCTAAGAAGACTTCTCCTAAGTGTTATTCTTAACACAAGAAACTTTTGCGGTTGGGCAATTAAAATGTCCATGAATAATTGATATATCTATCGGCCCATAGATACCATAATTGCACATAAGTAGAACAAGCTAACAAAATTGATACACATTGCTTTTAAAATAAATCAAATCATATAAGTATTGCTGGAAAAATCATTTAATAACATATAATAAATCTTCCTGTCATAAAAAAGATGCTCTCATGAAATTTCCACTGTAAAAGCCAAAAGAACAGCCCATACTTTGCGAACGATTGTCACTGACATTCCTTTACTGACAAGTGTATCTGCAATCCATCCACCAACATTTGCAGAAACTGCCATTGTAAGCCAGGGAAGAATGCAAAACAGACCAGAATCTGTGAGGTTGAACTTCAAAACCTATATAGTGCAGGTTAAATATAATTTCATCAATATCTTGATATTCTAACAAAACTCATAGTAACATTTTGAAATAAAATGCTTAAAGGTGATTAGATGATTATGTCATTTCTATACTCCTTAAAAAGATTAAAATCTTCAATTTGCAAATGATTGAAAGCTTTCTAAGAACAACAGTACTAAGAAATATGGAAGCAGCACAAACTAGAGACTGACATAATCAGAAATTAGGATTCAAGTTGCCATGAAAAGATTAAAAAGCATGTTCACTTAAGAGCAGAAATCATGCCAAATTACTAGATAATCTACCTGATTGTAGTACGTTGGCATCCAAGTAAGAAGAATAAATGTTCCCCAGTTGTGGCAGAAGTGGGAAGTTATAAGAGCCCAAACTGGTGGTTTTGATAAGATCAATCTCCATGGTATTGTCTTTACAGGTTCCTTTAGTACATTATCACTGACAATAAGCTTCTTTTCATCAGGGCTAATTTCAGGATCTTCAAAAGGAGAACTGTATGCCTGATTATACAGGTGACGATATAAATTAGGCAACATTCAATGGACATACTAACTGCAACTTCAGGGATGAACAAGCCGCTTCAAAAGGCTGATTGCTAAAAGTTACTACTTATAATGAAGACAAAAGGAAATAGATCTTTTAGATAAAAAAAACTGCGGTTAGTAGCAAAAGCCACCAACAGCTATGTTGCATCATATATACCTTACTTAGCCATACTGTAAGCCAAACACTTCCAAGAGAACCGAAGGAATAGAAGACAGAAGGCCAACCAAACTTATGTATCAACAAAGGTGAAAAGGCCAATCCAGTTACTGATCCAAGGTACATCCCACTATATACCAGTGCTAATGATCTGCTCCTCTCTGCTACTGGAATCCACCTTGAAAGAATATTATTCATAGCAGGCATGGCAACCCCCTGACAAAAGCCAACTGTATCAACTTGAGTCAAACATATAAGTAAAGAGGCCAAAAAAATTGGGAGAGATGGAGTCAGAAGGCAGCAATGCGAAGCATCATTTATTTTAGGAAACTAAAATAGGAATTTTGCTATTATTTGGTTATTTAAATCTTACCTCACCAATTCCCATGAAAGCACGTACAACGAGAAGGAAAGGCAATCCAGCCTTTGCTGCAATAGGCGTAAGAGCCGTGGCAATAGACCACCAAACAACCCCAAACCCCAAGACAAGTTTACCACCAACCATGTCTGCCCATATACCTCCTGCGATCTATATAAACCAGCAAATATAATGGAGCGACAGATTCAAATAAATCCCGCACCAACAAATGCAAAAGGGGCATGCATGCACACACACAAGCTTCCTATCCAACAGTTGATTTTAAGTTTGTGAAATCGTGTTTGCAGCAAAATCACTAAATGAGTAGAAGATATATCTATGAACTATCACCTAAAATATCAAAAAAAAATTGATCTTTTCAGTGATAATTTAGAGATAAGATGTTCCAAAGGGAAGTATCTGATGCACATCTAAGAAGCATCTTTGACATGAATGCAACAAGCAATTTTGGTATCCATGCTTCATAACCTTAAACTTAATCCTCTCAAGCCATTTAACTGACGTCATGTGCAAATTGTGTAACAGCAACTTGAATACAGTAAAATAGCATCACAAGTTTGATCTAGATTATGTTACATTGTATGAACAATGGTAAATCAGCATCAAAGAGAATTAGACATAGGTGTGCCAAAGAAAAGGTATGACCCATAACAATAATCAACTATACACTTAGAGAACATTTATCCAAGGGCTGCCTACTTTGCATGGACCAAATACCTCTCTAAACTGAGTAGGAAAAGACAAAAGGGTGTAGCAAAACTATATTGAATTTCACCTTCAAAATATACTAGTATTAAATATTTTTTGGATATAAAATAAAAATTTGTGATGTTTGTTAACTGAAACTATAAGAACATGGAAATGAGTATTAATGTTATATTGACATGGAGGTTCTTCGTCACGATTTGATATGTAGAAAATGTTTGCTCTAAATGAAATCAGATGGCTTATGAAGTTTTAATAATCAAATCCACCTGTTTTAGTTTACTTCTTAATTTGTAAGCTGGTCGAGTTCATATTTTTTAATAACCGGTTGAAGAAATGAATAGTAGTTGAATTGAATCTGAAACCCCCAAAACACTATTTCACCCAAAGCTTAAAACTTTGCAACGTAACGTATGAAACCAAATTCTCATTCTTGTAAATCAAATTCATAGTTATCGAATTCTCATTCTTGTATCTCAAATTTATAGTTACCATATAAAAAGCCAAAGATTCAGGCTCATAAAACAATGGATCAAAAGCAACAAAAAGATGTTCTCAGAGTATGCAAGCTCAAACTCAAAATTACATGATGATGCAAGTGGTTCACCACCAACCTGGGTGAGTAGGTAGCCCCAGAAAAAGGATGATTGGATCAATCCTACAGTTGCAGGATTCCAGTTGAATTCTGCTGACATAGGGAGAATCGCAATGCTCATATTAACCTGTCAAATTGAAATCAATCATATAAAACATCCCATTACATTATCCGATATGCATATTTCACATTTTCTAAATCATGTAATGATCAACAAATCTTATAAATACTAATTCTCAAATTTGAGCACAAACATGACATTAGTATGAAATTAACTTAAGCCCCTTTTTTTTCTTGTTTTAAATCTTCATAGAGGTGATGGGAACCTAATTCTGTGTACCCTGTCGGAGATCATAAAATAAGATCCAGAGATAATAAGAAAGCAGCCCCCTCTATATGAAGTGAATGTACTGATATAGGCTAAAAAATAATCACAACCCCATTCTATACTCATTAATAACAAATGTACTTTATGCAGTGTGTATAAAACATTCTCCAGAATTGCCATCATCCATCAGAATGGATGATTAGTGTTACAAGGAGTCTGTTAAAAAAATATTATGAAGGTTCAGATTGACCAATGAAGCATGCTCTAATCTTTAATGACCCAACAAAGGCTGTATATGAGACTCCCAAATTGAAGTATGAATATGTACATTTGAAGGCTATAAAAAAAATTTCATGAAGGTATATCGGGTTCAACCACAGATTAAACTCCGATCTTTAATAACCGAAAGATTGTTAAATATGTAGTTAAAACCTTGTGGATGCAAATCTTCACATTGAAGCATTCATAGATTCAAATCATCATACTAGCTAGAGCATGCTACAAATTTCACCCTGCCTCTAGCTCCCTCTTTACGTCTACACCTCTCCATTCTAGGCATTTTACTCTCTTCCATGCTGGTACACCTCCAGTTTATATTTGTAGACAAGAACACTTATCATTACAACTGTTAACTCGGAACTAAAATGAGAAAAAGAGCATTCCATATTTAAAATTCACTGATGTCTCTTTGTTTTTTTCCTACCGGTATATGCACACATGATGAAACTACAAGAATCAAACAGTAGAGAGCATGTATCCCACGGAAAATAAAGCAAGCAAGAGAGGAACGACACTCACGCGGTCCATGTTGCAGAGCAAGAACGCCGAGAAGCAGAGGATCACGATCACCCATCTCTTGGGGAACGTCTCCAATCCTGCTCCCACAGCGCCCAACCATCCGTCCCCTTCCTCCTCCTCCTCCTCCCTCGGCCGCAGAGCCGGAGAAACCAACTCTCTCCGGACGACCTTGGGGAACCCGATCGAGTCCGGGACCGAGTCCGGCACGTCGAACGCCTCCGGCTTCAGGTCAGCGCCTCCGCCGCCGGCTCGGGCTCCCGCGGCAGTCCACCGCAGGCGGCACGGGGTACCGGAACGCCAGAGGCCGCCCCAGCCCAAGCGGTGCGTGCCTCTTCCCCGGGAGGCCTCCCCGTTCCGGATCGGGGGCCTGGGGCGTGTGCTCTTCGGACGCGGCAGTAGATCCGAGGGTAGAGGACAGGAGAGAGGCAGGAGATAAGCTCCCGCGGGGCTCATGGCGTCCAACACCGAAGTCGCGAGATCTCAGGTGATATTTCTGGCCGTGCTTATAAGCTGCAGCATCCGAACCTGTAGAGTGGGAGAGGAGAACGAGTGGTTTATTTATGATTGTAGGATGGGAATTGCATCATCACCGTCCAACCGCCCACTGATGGTGAGAACTGCGGATCGGACGATCCTGACGACGGTGAGCGGAACAGTTCGGGTAATATCTCTTTATGCGTTCGTTGCGAGCCATCAAATATTCTCAGCGCCAGTTTTGGCCATGTGGTCTCTACAGCAAGCACACGAGACTCGATGGCGACTCCATGGGCCGGGCTCAAACTAGACGGGCCCGTAAACGGATTGGATCCGATAACTCGATCCGAACATCATCACCCTCACACAACACTATTGTCAAACTTAACAAAGATGATATATATATATATATATATATGAGTTCCATTTCTTCATGCATAGTTGGGCTATGAATTCAATGACCAATCAGTTCGTCGCAGATCGTGTTGCGTGCTTAAGCTTTCGGATTCTTGGATGCGACTCGACCATCGGTGCCCGCAAGCATGCTGTACTTGTCCTTCCTGGTGAGGCTGGTGCACTCGAAGCCGAGCGTCTCCGCCAGCACTCGCTGTACGTGGTTGGCCACTTCGATGGGCGACTTCCCCGCGGCGCAGGTGAGCTCCTTGGGCAGCTGGTTCAGGAACGTGATCTCGTACGTCGGCGTCGGGTTCATGAAGAAGAAGTAGGGGTCGAATGCCTTCCAACCTCGCGCGGACGTCCCGTGGAACATCCCCTGCCTCGTGTTGATGGCCACCGGGACGATGCGGTCTGTGAGCTCCGCGAAGAGCGCGCTGAAGCGTAGTAGGAAGGCCTCCCTGCACGTCGTGCCCTCGGGGCATATCACCAGATCTCCTTCCTCCAACAAGCGTTTGATGTTCTCCGCGTCCTTCGCCCGCTCCCTCGACAGCGCCACCGCCTTGATGGGGGAGATGAGCTCCGAGAACTTGCTGATGCTATAGGTGACGCAGCTTATCTTGCGGCCGAGGGCGATGCCGGTGACGATGGGGTCGAGCATGGTGCGGTGGTTGCACACCAGGAGGACGCCCGGGTGGCCCTTCTTCGGGGGAGGGGGAGGCGCGCCCCTCACCACCAGCCTGATGCCGACGAGCTTGTAGGTGTAGAAGACAACGCGCTCCGGCAGCGGGAGGTTGAGGTAGATCCGGACGAGCGCGAGGGCGAGACCGATGGGCAACCAGAGGAAGGTCAGCAGCGCCGACAGGGGCGTCGGCCGCTGGGCCAGGCGGCCATCGTGGAGGATCACAGGCCGCAAGAGTTGGTTCTTGGGCACCGGCTCGCTCTTGGTGTACTGCGGCACGATGAAACCTTCCTGGCGACACGAGCAAGCTTGTACTTAGAACAGAGTCGTCAGTAAACAAGTGGTCAGGTGTTTGTCATCAAACCTTGCAAGCCGACATGAAATGGTGATCACTCTCCGAGTCTCCGATGCCCAAATCCGGAGAACTTTCTCCCAGTTCCACCTGAACAGCCTTCTTCTTCAGCTCTCCGATGAGCACTCCCGGCTTCGCGATGAACCCTGTCGCCCTCCCTGTCTTCGTGACCTCCACCTCCGTCCCCAAGACCTTGTCGACCCCGAGGAAACCCTTGGCGAAGGGTTCCACCATTATCCTGGGGCTCTCCGTGACAATGTACCTCTTGCCGAAGGAGCCGAACACCCTCCAACTCTCAGGGTGCACATCCTCGGCGTAGAACTTGGGCAGGACGGAGCGTGAAACCATCTCGATATCTCTCACCTTCAATCTCGCAAAGGAGATGAACACGAGTATCTGTAAAGCCAAAGACTCCGACACGAATGCACGCACGACGAGAACGATCGGAACCGATGCAAGAAGAACGATTCCCCTCAAAAGGCTGCCTGCTTCGATTGCGACGAGCATGAAGTAAGGGAAAGCGTCCCGAGACAGGAGGAGAGTGCCATCGAGATCAGCTGCTATCGTCTGCTCCGATCTTCCCTCTGATCTGCATTCCACGATGGACTCGAACTTATCCGATCCCATCATGGCAGTACAGAAGGGAACCGAGGGAGAGAAGATGATGATGGGAGAGTTCACGTACAGACATGGGAATATATACTGGCATGGAAGGTGCCATTGCATCCATTTTCTCACCAAACTCTGGGGATCGTCAACGTGCATAGGCAGTCGCTTATGCTGTCCCATGTACAGCGAATGAACCAAACCACATGGCCAAACGCATTGACGTAAAAGCCATGAAACAGCTCTCGCCAGCTGCAAGAAAGATTGTTGGTTGGGAAGAAGGCAGCCCTGCATCAGCTTTCTATGGATGGCTCATACGCTCTTCTCTTTGCATGCGTGCAATGGGCTTGGAGTGAGCTTGAGCAAGGCCTTGTCGATACTTCTTCGGCAAGTTAACTCTCATCTCGGTCTTTCGGCTCTTCAATGTTAAACCATTTCAACCACACACCGATCGACCAGCCAAACCCTTCAGACTCGTATACAGAAAGAACAAGTTACCGATCGAGGTAGGAGACGGCCGGTAGGTGAGAATGAAAGGAAAACTAGATCACAGTTGCTGAAGCGTGGAAGACGTAGAATACATCCATTGCAAGAAATGGCGTCGAGAGGCCACTACCATTCATTTGCTCACTCTGTCAACACACCTCACTAGCAGTTTCCTTCCTCATTCACCGCAAGAAGATTCAGTCGGAAGCCTCCTCTTGCTCTTGCCACTCTCCGTCAATGGAGAGTTGCTTTCAGCGTCTTCACCCGGAAGAGTTCGGAAAAAGTAGATGAAGCAAGCTTCGTTGACTAGGAAGCAATTCAAGTACTGGTTCGTTCACGCTGACATCATGACGGGATTCTGCAGCTGTTCTTTTCCGGCCGTCGACGAGCTAATAATAGCATGCCGTAACGCGAAACAAGGAAGCCCACCACAAGCCGCTGCGTCCTATTCGCAGTAAATGACGTTGGAGCAGAACATATCAAGGTTCGGAAAACTCAAGCGTCTGCCGTGCTCTGGAGAATCAAAGCTTGTCCCCTCCGTCTTCGGCAGCTACTTGAACTCGAGATGGAGTCGCTGCAGAGACGCCGTCAACCTGCACGTCCCATTTAGTCCGACAACAGTTCCGTTCGAACCAAAATCCAATTCGATAGTGTAAACAACTTTATGCCGTGGCCTCCGACGCGGCTTGGTTTGGGTCCGAATGCGCTGGGATCTTGCACGGCGTTCCTCGAGACTGCTGAGGTGGCCGATTACGGTGGTCCGGTCGGGACGTTGCGTCGGGAGTGAAGCTTTTCCGCAGCGCCGGGAAGATGCAACCCCGCCCTTGTACTTGCACACACGTCTGGTCGGAAGCTCAGCCCGACCCCTCCGACGATCAAGTTAGATGATGTTGAGAGAGTTTTTAGTGAAGAAGTGTCCCCCCCTCGTTTAGAACTCGAGGGTATTTATAGGGCAGTTGAGTGTTACCTGACGTGCCTGCTTGTAGGAGGCAGGATCGTACCTCCGATAGCGTCTGACATTGCCATTGACGTTACGTGGAGAACCGAACTGCCGCAGGGTATGGGCGTGCCTCGGTGGTCGTTCTCTTCTGCCTCGATCGAGCGCGTTGGGTTAGACAACGATGAAGTCGTTGTCTGAGAGCGAGTGACGTCGGCATTATTGCCCTCTTTCGGGCAGAGTGTCGTCCAGTCATGACTGACGTCGTAGCGTGTCATGTCGTCATTATTACCCTCATCACAATCTATCCGATGTGATTCATTGATCAATTATTCCAATCGAAATTAAAACCGGCCTTTATACAATTCGACTTCGATTCTCCTAATCAAGAAATCAAAACTATCGATCCAGAAACCGGAGTCAAGTCTCTATTATTGGGATGAGGCTGGTCGTTTGGCTTTGCCGTCGTCAACCTCTCTGCCATTCCTTTGCCTCCAAATCGGAAGACTCACCGTTGCATATTTGTTGTGCTTCACGGTCGTCAACATGAGGTACTTGCACACGTATCATGCAATGTGGAGTTATTTTACCCTTCTCTTTTAATTACTTTCACTTATTATTAGGATGATTTAAGCCTTGGATTTTGTATATCCATAATTCCCTCTCTCTCATAGATATTATTTTCTACCTTAAATCATCCCATCGTCAAATCAAATTTACCATATATCTGATTTGATCAAATTCAATTCTAATATTTTAATATTTATTAAAAATGGTATATTTCACTTTCGGCTCCGTTCGTGGTCGGTGCCATGTGTACGGCGCATCTCGAATATAACCAAACTTAACATTGCACTAACAGAACAAGCCCCTTGCGAAGCCGAATGATCTTGACCGTCGATTGAGTCATACCCCACCTTGATTAATGATGGTGGATGTCTGGGCTTCTTTCGTGGGTGTCAATAGCGTTGTTGGTCCATAGTTAAACCCCGAGGGGACCTAGCGGGCTATTTAAGCGGGGAATCGCGTCGTCCTCCTCGGCCTCATTTCGACTTCCGGCGCCTGCGGTGGTTCGTCCTCGGCTCGCTCCCCGGCATCTGACCGTGAGAGGATGCGGTGATTCGGTGGAGGTCACAGGAAAAAGGAGGAGACGAAGACCAGGGAATGGGTACGGAGGTGCCGGTGGCGTGAGGAGCCTCGGTCGGCTATGAGAGGAGGAGGAGGAGGGGGGATTCCCCTCTTTTTCTTCTCCGGTAGCAACCGGAGGATCCCTCTCAGATTCCGTCAGCTTTCCCCGGGATCCTTCGCGAGGATCAAGCCGCTCCTTTACTGGTGCCTGGCCTTCGCACTCCTCCTCCTCCTCCTCCTCTGCCGCCGCCCCTCTCACTCTTCCGGAACATCCCTTTGTCCCGGGTCCGCCTTCTTCGTCTTCTTGATCTTAATTTCCATCAGTAATTCCCACTACTTTGAATAGATTGTTTAGAGATGTCGGTTTCTTCCCTTTTTCTTGGGCTTTCTAACCTTTTCTCTGTTTGTTACCCTTGTGATCGTTCTTACAGAACTGGTTACTTTTGATACTTAGTGACCAGATGAATTCTGTAAACGAGCTTGCTTCTCACATGATCCATCGAGAGCTGATGTCTTGCACAAAGAGGCAGGGCATCACCAATTTAGATAGCTGCACAGCACTCTAGGGTCCAAAAACTTCTTTTTTGTGTGATATATGCTACAATCCAAAGCTTCCAATCTTGTAGGACAGCATCAATCTTAAATTATTCGATTGTTCATTGTTCAATGCTTATTTCTCATATATTGTTCTACAAAATGAGGCCAGTATATGTTTCTCTTGGCACATGAGAGACTTCGGCATCGGCCAATTCGAACCAAGTGCGGACCAACTAGGTACTTTTGGAGCCTACAATCTTTCTGTTGACTTAGCCACCCGCAGACCCTGCACACAGGTTGTCCAATTCATTGGAATATATAGGTAAGGGTGTTTCAGAGAATATATTCACACGGTGTCCCAAATCGAATATGTTGGTATATGGGCTTTCTTCTTATAAGTGACTCTTCTTTAGGGGAGTGCACCAAAGCAGGGCATCGATTAAGATATAGATGACTTTGATATTATCTCTTTGATGTGAGTATCTATCATAATTGGGTAATTACTCCTAGCAAGGAAATCATGCAATACTTGGTTTATTTTAGCACCAACTACATAATTGGAATCGAGCACCAACTGCGAAATCAACCATCTTTGAGTTTTCGGTGTTCGAATGTCCAATTTGTAGTATATTTTTTTAAAAGCTTGGTCTGATCATTCAAATGCTAGTATTTTGCTTAAGGCAATAATATTTACTATTTTCTTTTGCTGTAACTTAAAGCCGTAAGTTGTGTTAAAGAAGTATTGAAGGATTGCAAAATAGTCATGGAAAATTATACTGATTAGGACTTGCAAACCTCCATGCTCAACTATTGTACTACCGTATATAAACACATTCTTGCCCCAAGTCTCACCTAACTTGCTGTAATTATTGCTTTTTGCAGGAAAGGTTACACTATACTGATTAACACATGGAAGAGAAATGACCTTCTGAAGCAATCTGTTGTCCATTATGCTTCTTGTGTTGGAGTTGAATCTATTCACATAGTGTGGAGTGAGCCTGATCAACCTTCGGATTCCTTATGCGATGCTTTGTGGCAAGCTGCACAACTAAATTCAAGAGGTTGCAATGGTACTGAGCTAAGATTCGACTTAAATGAAGAAGACAGTCTAAACAACAGGTTCAAGGAAATCATGGATTTGGAGACAGATGCTATCTTTTCAATCGATGATGATGTTCTATTTCCTTGTGCTTCAGTAGAGTTGGCTTTCGCTGTCTGGCAAAGCGCCCCTACCACAATGGTAGGATTTGTACCTCGTATGCATCGGCTGGATAGGATGGTAAGCTCTCACTGATTACTGTCTTTATGTTATAAGCCTTCGATGACCTCATTATTATCTTTGTAGAATGGTATTCAGGACTAAGCTGACTTCCAAATTCTTTCATCTCTCTTCTGTTTTCATGATTCACACCATGCTTGTCTCTTACAAATACGCACTAGTATTTACACCTATCTTATCTAGAGCATCTTGATCTTTTGTTTATTGTGTCTTTAAAATTTTGTTAGAATTTCTTCTTTAGTTCAAAAATTCCTGTCCAGAAAGGGAATGAGGAATACTATAGGTATGGAGGGTGGTGGTCCGTTTGGTGGATGGGCACTTATAGTATGGTCCTCTCGAAGGCAGCATTTTTCCACAGGAGGTATCTCAATCTTTACACAAACCACATGCCTGCATCTATCCGTCATTACGTAACCAAATATAGGTGAGCATAGTGCTGTCACCTTTCAATTTAGAATAACCTGATATTCTCATTTGGTTTTATCCCTGACAGTGTTATGTTTTTGTGTTGAACTTTGTGATCTTATGTTGCAGGAACTGTGAAGACATTGCAATGTCATTCCTTGTCGCAAACACAACAGGTTCTCCTCCTATATGGGTCAAAGGTGAGGACACAATTTCATGAATAGACCTTTTTTTTTTCCTTCTTTTGTCGCTTAGTTTCTATTCTTAATCATAGCATTGCAATTGCTCAACATTATTGCTCATAGTTGTTTAAAGGTTAAAAACTTTTCAGGCTGGTCTTCTATTATCTATTGTGGCTACCTTGTGAAGCACTCATGTTTCACTTGGAATTCCTCGCATGTTTCTGCATACATCTCTCAAAAAGCTAATACAACATTCACAGCGTATACAGCTTCAATCCAAACACATGAATGAATGAGAATGTCTACACATCATATGTATATGAATGATCCTACTTTAAACATACTGTTGATTATGGCCAACTTTGTTATCTATTTATGAATTTGGCTCCAATCAGTACATTTGATATGATTGAGAAGGATTACTTACGGTATACTTCTCACCAGGCAGGATGTTTGAGATAGGATCAACTGGCATCAGTAATTTAGGAGGCCATAGTGAGCGGAGAACTCAATGCCTCAATTTGTTTGCTGAAGTTTATGGTCATATGCCTTTGGTGGCGACCAGTATGAAGGTTATAGACAGTCGGCACAGCTGGTTGTGGTGACTCATTTACTTCCTATGCTATAATTTCATTGGTCATGCAACATAAAATTAGTCTGTATCATATGTTCTCTTATTTCCTCCTCCTCTGTTTGGTTTGATGTACCTTTAAATGTTGTGTAAATACAATTACAATTAGATTGGATTTTACATCATTGCAGGATGTGGATCGCAAATTGATGATGTTAAATTGGATTTTATATTAGTCAAACGGATTCGGATTCTGTTCTCATTCCCAATGGGCTGGGCCAAGAAACCTTTCGGTCGACATCGGCATTGGATGCAGCGGCCTTTTAATGGACAATGTCGCGGACAAATCTTGAATAGCTTCTTATCCGCTCTCTTCCATCTCTCGCTCGCTCTTGCCCTCACGATGGCGCTTCTCACCCTGGGACTGGAGATGGGCGCCGCTCCCGTCGCCGTGGCCGCCTCGCGCCTCTCCTTCTCGCGGAGCGGGAGCCTCGTGGGTTCGTCCTCTGTCGTCTCCCTGTCTCTTCTGTCGGCCTCGACGCCCCTCACCTCCGCGCACGCTCCTCCTCCTTCCCTCTCCAGTTAAGACAGACGAACGAATCCTCTCTCTCTCTCTCTCTTGTTTCGTTCCTTCTATTTATCTTCGTTTCTCAATCGTATCCTGTGGATCAGTTAACTGCGGCAGAGGCGATAAGAAGACCGCGAAAGGGAAGCGGTTCAAGCATTCCTTCGGAAACGTAAGCAGTTCTTCTTCTGTTCTTAAATTGGGCGTCGTCGGTGTTTAGTTTTAGTTGGCTGTGTTGCTCAGGCGCGGCCTCGGGACAAGACGAAGGGGAGAGGTCCGCCGCGGTCTCCGGTGCCGCCCTCGCCCCCTAAGAAGGACCGTTTCGATGATGGAGAGGTCGTCAAGATCGAAATCGATGAGTCCCTCTTCTCCTAGCTCTTCTGAACATTGCTTTTCTCGATCTGTACTTCCTCGTGTAGCTTTTTTCTGCAAGTCGGATTGCCTAATCTTAACTCGTTGAACTTTCTCTGATATTTGCATCTACCGATGAAGACGTTGAAATTTACGATCGCAACACCCCCTTTTTGCATCTTCGCTAGTTGTCATGGTTGTGCACATCACCTGCTTGCAGTATTTACTATCTCCCTTTTCCTTCTCCGCTACCTCTATTTGTTTTCCGAGTACAGCACACGCTCGTTGGTTTCACTCTTGTGGTCTTCACATGTGCCCATCTCATGCGCACACAAACACGCACAATTCTCCTTTTGTTCCCATGGAAAATTATCATGGGCATTTACAGTTATCTGAACTCCCTTCTTAAGTTCAACCATGAAACATAGGTAATTTAACTAGTAGCTTTGAGCTTTGCTTCCCGCGTTATGGCCTGACATGTAGGAAGCACTCAACCCTTTCACCTGTAATGGTTTTGCGAGGGCCTCTGTAGTTGTTTATTGAAGCTGGGCATCCTTCCAATTCAGTTCCGCTCTCCACGGTAGAGCTCAGCTCATTGCTGTTTCTCGACCCATCGTCCGTGGGTTAAGACCTCTATTTCCCGTCGGTGAGCGTACATTGTGAGCCATTCGAATTGTCGACCAATAGATTAGAACTACTGAAACACCAAGCGAGCCTCCCGCCGGAGACATCTTTCGTTTTTTACAATGTGGAGAAGCGAGAGATCAGACACCAAAGCCCACATTATAATCTCACAACGGGAAGATGATACGCAATAGCCATCCACCCAAAATACAAAGGCATCTGCACCACTCCATTCCTCAGCCTAGCGGGAGCCATGGGCTCGATCAAGGCTGTGGCAGTGGCAGTGCGAATGAGCCAATGGCACAACAGCTTTCAAGTTAGGCGTCCATATCAACAGCATGCTCGCTCAATTCATCTTTGAAGGAATTGGGTCATGACTCACATGCCTGGGGCCATTGCAATCTGGAGAAACCATGGAACAGTATTCACAATAACAAGTCCTGAAACCTCAACCAACCAATCATGTCTCCAGAGGAACTGCCAATCTATCGTCGATGCACTCTGCTTGGAGAACCTCTGTCTTCCCGGCTTCGGTAACGGGAGCTAGAGGATTCTTCATCGTGCCTCCTGCGTTTGTCATTTCCTTGCTTGTCTAATCTGTCTTCCCGGTTTGCTTCTAAATTTCGCCTGTCCGAGGGCTTGTCCCTCCTTGACTCCCTGTACTCGTCATCATCTTCATAGGTCTTTAGTCTTGAAGGATGACTATCCTTGTTTACCGATCCAGATTTTGAGTCGCCCTCTTTAACTCTCTGATGCAGAGTAGGATCTGAGGCATGTCGAGAGGCATTTTTGTGACTGTTTGGAGGGCCATCGTATCTGTCATGATTCCATCTTGAATCACTGTCCTTGGGACCCCAGCCTGTGTTTGCGCTTCTCTGTGTGGAACAAACAAATATAAATACCGCTCCATAATACTATACTGACTAAACACTACTCCATATCTGCTTAAATCGAAAAACATGGCCATGGGCACAAGAATACAAATACAGCATGGTAAAACAAGCGAAAATAGAAATGGACAACAAGAATAATTTGACAAAGCCAGACACTGAATTGTAATTAGAAACAGTGAATATTCAATTTTGATTGTTGGCCAATAATCAGTTTTGAATCATAAAAATTGAAGGACAAGAAGTTAAACTTGTGCAGAAAATAAGTAGTTCAATGAAAAACAGGACAGTTATCCATCTTATCCATACTTAAAATGTTGGACATTCACAATAAGAATGTTTTGTGAATAGTATATATAGAGGGCAATCATGTTTTCTAACATGCATAAATGTTAATTATCAAAATAACTAATAGTTTTATCATGTTTAATTTAGGAAAAATTCAGTCTAAAATTAAATGAGATGAATATTCTTTCACAGTTTGACGTATCTTTATATACATATATAGGTTTCCAAAAGAATGCTTTCATTGCAATAGAAAACCCAGTTGCAGCATAAGGATTTCCAAAACATAATACTTCAGCATGAAGTAAATCAGCAAAGTACCAAACCTTTTCAGGCTGTCTGGTAGGGGTGGATTTCACCATCGCTGACTTCTATTTCACCCTCAACATACTGTTAGTATCATATATTTCCAAAGGCCGCTAATGCGGACTTAATTTTACTACTAATTGACTCTCTAAATCAAACAAATTCAAACATATAGCTATTAGGAGGAGTTAAATTCAAACCTAAATAATAGCCATAATGGACAAGATTACAATAAAAAACAAACAAAGCCAAACTAATGAAACCAGTCTAAAAAAGAAACCTAATACTCTCGAATTGGATCCTAGCTAACCTTTTCCTGTATGTAACTAAAAATTTATAAAAATATTTAAGCATAGTGAACTTGTCGCAAGAATATACACCGTGAGAAAATATACCTGCTCATCATGAGAAAATTTGCAAGAATCACCAAATTTGCATTCACCCCTTTGAAAGGCACGACATACACCACGTGCCTCCCTCTTTTTCTGTCGCTCCTCCTCATCTTCCTCTTCCTTTTTCTTATAGTTACTAACATGATCAACTCTTACGATTCGACCAAGGATCTTTGCCCCATTTAAATTGTCTGCAAGAAAAATGTGGCAGATACAAAGTGGTTAATTGTAGCATGCAAATCACGATCTTTAGAACTAAAACAACTTACCTACAGCAAGAATTGTACTCCTTTGATCCTCATATGCAAGAAAGGCAAAACCTTTTGATTTACCAGTACTCTTGTCTCTCACAAGATTAACATCGACTACCTCCCCATACCTAAAATTTGCAGAATATCAATATTAAAAGAATTTAAAGGCGCTAGAGAATAAAGAAAATTACTGTTGAAGTTTTCAAAGGAACAATGGTGTAGGTGCTTGCACCATTAAGGCGTGAGCCTATCAACAGACTTAGCAGACTCATACCAAAGATAATATTGGCTCAGAAAGAAATGATATTTGGTTCAACATCAGATCCATTGATCTCGAAACCTTAGTGTTTAATCATTATGATCTATGAGAATAGGGCATAGTCGCTAACTAAATGCAAATATGAATAATTGAACTGGTAATTGAGAGGAAACAAAAGAATTCATTCACATGAATGTGGATAAGGCATTAGGCATCAGTATGAAGCAAGCAAGGTCAGAACCTGCGCCAAATATAAAAATAGGAACCACAATTGAGTTTGGGGTCCTCTTACTAGCATGTCAAACTTCTAAACAAGCATGAAATTTAAATATTTGCAACCAGTCGAAATAAGAAACATGGCATATACATTCTATTTCGATTTTTGATATGGAAGAGTTCAAGAAAAAAAAGGAAGGATATTATTGATAAGAGTGAATAGACATGCCATTTCTTGAAATCTCTCATTTAGTTCAAAACCATGGTGTATCTATCGTGCATCCTCTTCTAGTTGTACCTACCAGTTCTTTTTTTGGGGTCAATATCAGCAATGCCTTACACCAAAGAAGAGTTCAATCCACTGCTTTATTATCCGGTAATTCACCGGGACACAGTTCAGACTTGGCCGACCTGAATCCTATCCAGAAAGGTGCTCAAAAGGCTTTCAGAATATTGTGTTATAGGTAAAATGTTAGCAGATCTACCTCACTGATCTCATCTATGTAATTACATCCGTAAATCACTTCCTCGTTGATAAAAAAGAAGAAAAGCAGGACATGTCTAGGGCAACAAGATCCAGTTGACCAACTAATTCAAAAAGGTAGTAGGTTCGGACAAGGAGAAGAAGAGGGGCAAGGGAGAAAGACTTACTGGGAAAAGACGGCGAGGAGGTCGCCCTCGGTAAGATCAAAGGGGATGCCACCGATGAATATGTAGGCGGATTCCTTGTATTTAGCGTGCCAGGAGGCCTCCTCCGATATGCCCAACGCCGCCTCGGTGGAGTTGATCTTCTGGGTCCGCTTCACCAGCGTCAAAGGATTCATCCTTTCCTTCTATGCCTAATTACTCGCTCGTCCACGCGCTGCAGTACCCAGCTCGGCCTCTAAGCAAAGACACGTTCAAGCCCTAACAAAAAGGAAAGAAACCCGAGAGGAACGGGTCAATTCGGGCTTTGCCGGTGCGCGAATGAAGAAACTCCGAGACGAGCGCCGCCGGCGAGCCACAGAGAGGAGAGGGAGGTGGTGGATCAGTCGTACCTGATGGATGACTGCATCCAGCGGAGAAAGGGCAGCGGTTCGGCAAAGGCGATGAATCAGGGCCGGACGTCGATTGGGGATAGCGAAAAGGTCATGAAACGAGGATTAGGGTATACTTCCTTCGGGTTCGGATCAGCGTCGGACATGGAAACCCAAACCCGCAAACCCGATCCGTATCCACTCCACCTGTCAAACCCGACCGGATTAGCCTGCGCTGCTTCGTGCCGGATCACCGTTCATCAAATATTCGCGAGTATATATACTTAACCCGAGCACCCACTCGAAGCCCTGGTTCTACGTGGGGCCCGCGTAGGACGTCGTGGCACTCTCTTGAGTGCGTCCCATGCAAAACTAGGTGGGCCACCACGAGAAGGGAGTCGGGTACGCGGTGGACGCTGGATCTGACTCACGCAGCTTAATCGGGATTTCCTTTCTTATTTTGGGATGATTAGGAGAAGCTTACAATTAATTACCTGCCATAGCATTATAATTAATCAAGAAAAGATACGTATTATGGATAATAATTATTGGTTGCTCCTATCAGCGCTCACCGCTCACTGACCTCTTGTACTGAGTTGACAACCAATAAGGGCAAATCGAGCAAGCTTCCTCCTGAGATCCAGAATCTTCCTTCGCCGGTCTCCCTTCTCTTTGTACTCCAATCGAACCACTCGCGCGTGAGGCCGCATTGATCTCCTACCTTTTGGGCCGCGACAACTGTGGGCGCCTATGGGAACTTACCATTCCTCCGCCTCGATTCAGTGGCGGGGTTGATGCGCCTTAGCTTGCTTGGTCGCAACGGGGGACTGAGACTCGCTTGGCCTAAATGGGGCCGATCTGGGGCAGCGGCAGCGGCGGCGGCCCGGAGCCGGGAAATTTCTTGCTCGTGCTCTGTTTCGCCTTCGGATCCTTCGTCGCCCGCTTCTTGCTCGACCGCTTCCTCTATAAGGTTCGGATCTTTCGTTTTCTTTTAGGGTTTTTTGGATAGCGCGAGACAAAAGTAACTCATGTGATGTTTATATGTTTTGATTGTCAGCCTTGTGCTATGAGATTGTTTGGTAAAAAAGCTGTTCTAATGATGAATGATGAGGCCAAATGGTCAAAGGTTGTGAAGTGTTCTGAGTCAATGTGGAAGTTGACCTACTATGTTACTGTCCAAATATGGGTCCTTTCAATCATCAAGCAGGAGCCTTGGTCACTGGATACTAAGGAGTACTTCAAAGGGTGGCCGAATCAAGAAATGAAGTGAGTCCAAAACGGTTTATCTTTTCCTTCACTTTGTTAATGCAAGTTGGTTTTGTATGCTATTAATGAAGTTCATGTTTATATCAATTTGATAACATTGAAATGATACACACTTGATATCAACTTAAAGTTCAGCAAGGGACAACTCAGACTTGGCATGGTTGACCTATGTTGTTGTTTCCTGTCTCATTGTTCTATATTGAGGGATCTAATAAACATGATGATGCAGTGTTCTTGACTTAATCTGTATTAAGCATCTAGACTAATCTGAGCTTAACATAGTATCATCTCTCCAGTTCTTATACCTTTTATTCTTTTTACTATTGATTTTTACCCTCTTTTGATAGGTCTTCTTTGAAGCTTTTCTACATGTGTCAATGTGGATTTTACGTCTACAGCATTGCTGCTCTCATTGCGTGGGAAACTCGCAGGAAGGATTTCTCAATAATGATGTCCCATCACGTAGTCACCTCAACATTGATTGGATTTTCTTATATTACCAGGTACCAATTAGAGGTTGCTAGTTATTCCTTTGCGTCTTCTAGACTCTTTTTGTTGCTTTATGTATTGATTTAGCTCTTATGTAAATTTTTATATTCAGCTATGTTCAATTCCTTCTATGAAGGAGATTAAATGAGCCAATGTCTGAAAGATGTCTCCTCTTGACCCATAAACTTCACCACGAGATGATGGATAATAAAACTAAGGTGAGGAACCATCTGACATGATTGATGACTTGAGGAATACACCGCTGTTATAAAACCATGACCCTGACTCGAGGATAGGCATGCCAAGTTCTACTCTTTTCTAATTCTTCTACCCATAACTTTGCCGGGGTTTAGGCTTTGAAGGTTTTACTTTTTCCCACTTCAGAGGAGCAACTCCTATAAACAAGAAGAAAAAGCATGGATTTTGATAATCACACCAATTTTACTCTAGAACTAAACTTGTGGTCCATCGTATAACCAGCCCTCAATTTTGATACAAATAGTATATATGATGTTTAATGATCTGTTTGAGGGCAGATTTTGGCATCTGTGACATACATTGCTCTCGTGAATGATGGCATTGAATTTTCTTCAACAATGCTTCTCATTGGGGCACCTGCCATGTTTTCGTTCAAGCATTGAACTTCTCCTGCATCCCTGCTTTGTCTGGAACGAGAATTCGTCCTCAACCTGCTCTCCGTCATGAAGAGAGATGTGAGAGATCAAGAGCGAAGGCGAGGGAGGAAGGGGTGACAAGCAAAGAGAGAGATCAGGCGGAAGAATCCAGCCAGTGATTTGATTCAACCCCACAAGGGGGATGGATTTATACGGCCTTGGTCCAAGTTAAACCCAAACAACTTAATTAGCCAAATATATAGACTTTTCTTCACACAGAAGGAACTATTAGTAATAACTGTTAGCAAAATTGTGGTGCTGATCTTGTTTTCATATTTCTTGTGTTATTGAGCTGGATGAAGTTTCGTATCTTATCAAAATTAGTCTTCTTTTGCTGCTGTTTGCACTCTTTGAATTTCAAAAGGTACTTTATTTTTTGACCTTACGTTGTCACATGTAAGCTGTCATTTCTTTTGTTATTCTTATGCTTTATCTCCTCCCTGATATCCTAGTGTACTTTTTGGTGATGATTGGTGCTTGAACATAGCACATCACAGTGATAACTATTGTTTTCTAGTTCACATTCATCACTGTTTGTTTTCTGGAAAATTGAAATAGTAGATATTTTACAGTTATCTTTGCATTCAACTTACCATGTGTTTGAAATTTAAGTTTAGCGAGTGATGCCGGTGCCGATTTCCTGTTCTATTAACAATGTTAGGGAGTACCGACCTAATGGATATCGTTATGCAGGTTTTTCCGAATAGGGACTGTAATGCTTGCCCTTCACGATACAAGTGATGTCTTCCTAGAAGCAGCTAAATTGTTCAAATATTCAGAAAAGGAGATGGCAGCTAGCTTGTGCTTTGGACTTTTTGCCTTGTCATGGTTAATTCTGCGATTAGTATACTTCCCCTTCTGGATAATTAAATCCTCTAGGTATTTTTCATCATCAAATGTTCTTAAGTCATTGAGATATCTTCCTTTTCATTTGGCTAATTGTTACAATGATTGCATTTTCAGCTATGAGTGTGTCCAAGCCTTGTCATGGATGGAAAATTTTCCAACCACTTTATATTATATATTCAACACAATGCTTCTTACCCTTCTCGTCTTCCACACCTACTGGTGGAAACTGATATTTGCAATGATTATGAGACAGATGGGTAATAAAGGCCAAGTGGGAGAGGACATCCGATCAGGTAAAATATGTACTCTTTGTAAAATCTTTTTTCGAAGAATTTTGCATATTTAGAAGCTTCTGTTACTGACAACCGAGATAAGCTGATCAGTTGCGTATCCTAGAATTAGTTATTGGCCTAGAAACTATGAGGAAATTTTCCATCGAGAACCAATGAAGGAACTGTTCAGAGAAATAGTTCGACTTGACCTTCAACAGAATTATACCAGAAGTCTTCTATTTTAGAACTGGTTCTTGCTCTCATGCTAATGTTCCAGCATGTCCTCGAACAATTATGACTATGGACTTGAGAGTCAAGCTTGCCAAGATGTAATTGGTTCTATCTGTCTATCGATGTTATGCTCCCTCTTCGAAAGGTTATGCTATTAGTTAAGCTATTCAAACTTCGCTTGCTCTAATTTTTTTTTCAATTAAGGAACATAGCAAGCTAATTTCTCCAGCATGTAATTGATTTCAGACCTTGACCACTGCTTAGAATCTCTATCAGTGTCTTTAATTAAGGTGCCAAACTTGTTCTTTGTGGAGATATCTTATGCTTTTGAGTTTTGAAGCAATGATTACCATTTCTCCGTGATAAGCAAACTGCTGATCTCCATCCGATCCAATTACAGATTCTGAAGATGGAGATTAAACTCACGTGATCCAGACTTTGCATTGGGAGATGTGATCTATAACAAAAACTATGGTGCAGAATTTTGCGCATTCATTTCTTTTAACTTTATAACCGCAGATCAAGTGCCAACAGATTCTTGTACTCTGTCTACTGCTGATTTAGAGCTTCATCGATTAAAGGCAAAGCCTCCTTGGGACAAAGATGCACCAGTGGTACTGAAGATTTTTGTTCTGCTTGCATGAGGTATATTTTTTGTATAACAAGGTTGCTTCTGAGCTTCCAGATGTAGAAAGATTGTCATCCATGAATATGAAAACAGGAAATATGACAACGCAAAGTTGTTTTCAAGAAACTGATTTGCTATTTATAGCGTTGGCAATTCGTCGGAATTAAGTTGTAAATCAATTTGTGTGCCTGTGGAAGTTGATGGCATGTTTTGACTGGAATTCTCTTTCTATTATAATGGCTTAATTGTTCTTTTTCTGGTATTTGAATTCATCTCACGGGGACGGATCTATAAACCACACTGTTTACGGAAGGCTGAGCACCGCTGGAGGTATCTTCGATGCAATATGAGTTACCAGTCCATTAATTTTGTTTTATCATTCTACCACTGCACACATATCTAACTGTATCATCTCTTCTAAATCTATGTGCGAGTGGATATACATCCATGACCAATTCTCTATCATAATGCACTGTAAATAGTGAGCATAAATGTAATATTTTATTTTAGTCTTATTCATATCTTTCGTACAGGATGTCATTTTTTATTTATTTTTATTATTAATAGAAGTATAAAAAAAATAAAATATATCAATTTACTAATCAAAATAAAAAAAAAATAAATATAATGATTTTGACATTTGTACATAATTATAATCTCTAATAAGATAATATATGTTTAAAGTAAACATTGATGCATCAATACTTAAAGTAGAACACTAAGAATAATATTTTAAAAATATATTTTTTTTTTATTTTAAAAATAAAAAATATAAATATATCATTTATCATATTTATAAAATATAAATATCATAAATTATTATATATATATATATATATATAATTTATATTTCTATTGGTATGCTATATGTGAAACTCAAACACTCTAATAAGATGAAAATAAAAATATAATATTAACAATAATAAAATTATAAATATCAATTATTTGGGATCGATGAGAGATCGATTACATGGATTAAAAATAAAAATAAAGCTATAAATCTTAATTATTTAAGATCAATATATGGATTAGATAAAAATAATAAAACTATAAATCTCGATTATTTAGGATCCAACGAGACATCAAATTCTCATCATCAGCATTCTTGTGTGCAGCATATACAGGTGTCAGGATATTACAATTATACACAAAATAGCCACCAACATTAGTAAATCTTTGCATACATACTCCATCAATCATATACATCAATTATTGGTTCCATCGGCTGGCTAATACATAGGGAGTAGGTGGAGCCCGTCGAACCACCATTCAGGTACCGGGCTCGCCAGTGGGCCCCGCGGACAGTGACGCCGCCGAGAGCGCCTCCGTTAGCGCCCTCATCGTCTTCACTTGCATCTCCAGCGCCGCCACGTAGTCGCCCGCCTCCTCCAGGAGGCCCGACGCCGACAGCTTCCGGCACCCGGGCACCAGCCGGCCCAGCACCCGTAGCCGGTCCCTCACTTTCTTTCCCCTCAGCTCGGCCGACACCTGTTGCTGCGGCACCGGCGCCGACGGCCGCGGCTGCCTGCGCCCGCGGCGGATCCTGCCGCCCGCCTTGAGAAGGAGCTTGCGGCGGGGACAGCAGCGGCCGAGGAGGATGGCCCGGCTCCAGCGGGACTGTCCCCTGGCGGTGAGCGCGAGGGCGGAGTCGGCCGCCTCCTTGACGGCGCGCGGCCCCGCGGGGGCACCGCCGGTGGAGCGGAGGGCCTCGAGGAGACGGCGGCCATAGACCTGCTCCTGTGCGGCGGTCCGCCACTTGTTCTCCGCTTGGGCTGTCAGGCCGGGCTTCATCTTCTTCTTCCGAGATCCAGAGGAGGAAGAGGAAGGGGAAGAAGCAGAAGAGGCGATCATCGTGTTAGTGGAGGAGATAAAGTGGGAAGGAAAGAGGGAGGAAATTACGTGTTGATTTGAGGAGACAAAGCGAGGCTTTGATGATGGATGGTGATGCTGTTGGTATTGGTCATAAACTTTTTTTTTTTTTTTTATGCCACTCTATATATTATTTTTAGAGCGGAGAGTGGTCTCCGATAATTGGGTAGCATACCGTGGTTGCACATGTGAATGGACATTAAAGACATTGTTCTTATCATTAAGGCCCTTCATATTTAATGTAACAAGTACAAAAGGATTTCGTCAGAGAATAAATTATTCATTATTCATATAAAAAACAAATGTTTTACCGGACAAAACCCTTGAGTTTTTACCAAATAAGGTCCCTTAATTAGTTTTTAGTTAAGGGTGTCTCCTTTTTTTTTTTTTTTGATAAAAATATTATTCTCCTCCACCAATAATTTTGGATAGTCATCCCCCATTGTCATCCCACTATAGGTCACCACCTCTCTACCTTCGAACTTCGTTACGTCTGTCCCTAATCTACCGATTAACAAGGGTGCTAAAGAAGAGACAATTGTCCGAATCATATATGTATTTTCTTGTAAATTATTATCACATTTATTTTCGGATTCGGAAAGGGGTAAATAAACATAGGATCGGAAGCTGATGGATCAACAAATTTTCGTGGGGTGGATCGTGATTGGTAGAGCCCAACTTTTTCTCTCTTTTCTTTTTTAAGGCTAACACTAGTTTTTATATCAAGAGATAATTGACTCCATTGTTTAGCCTTTAGTTGTGGTTGCGTTGCAGTTGGAGAAGGTGATTGGAAATGAGGTGGGGCCCGGTTAGGTGACAAGCGGACGTCCATTCGCCAGTAGCTAGTGCAGTAGGCCATGATCCTTAAAAGTGGTGATGGCTGTTGGTGGTGAATTGGGGGAAATAATGGGTTTAGTCTCTCGGGACGCAACCATTTCATCCGCCAACACCGGCACTCCGGCACTTGCTGCATCATCCGTCGACCCATCAATCAGAATCGAAGTGGAAGTGCCCACCGGCAGATTACGACTTGCTTTCGTCCAATTTTCCGGACGTGGATTTTTCAGTAGGCTTCCATGGGAACCCAGAGGTCCCCACCGGGATTCCTCTACCATTCGATCCGGACAAAAAGAAAAAGAAAAAAAAAAGAAGAAGTTTATTCTGCTCCTGGTTAGTCGAATCATGTTGTTGATGATGGTCGACGTCATATAAAATATTATATTACATATCTAACAAAGGTGAGGAGATGAGGCAATAAGAAATCTAAGATAATTTTAGTGCGAATTCCAACCTTCCATTTTGGATTTTTTTTTCTTTCTAGGAAACGCTCCTTTTTCAAAAATTTCTTCATGAGCGTCACTTTTCTTTTAGTTTCAAAAACACCCTAACAAAACATCTCAAAATAGGCCTCATGATTTACATTGGATCGATCTATAACATGAATCAACCTAGTTATAATATTTTTACAGTAACTCTATTTAAAAACACTATGCCTGATATAAAAGTCAATTTTTTTACATATTATTGTTCTCAAATCAATAAGAATACCTACCCATTTGACACAATTTATATTTTATTTTGAGTCATTGTTTTTCACTATAATATTTTTGTATAAATTAGAGAAACACTATAATCTTATTTAAAAACATCATAACTGATTAAAAAATCAATTTTTTTTATTTTTTCTATTTCTAAACCAATAAAGACACTTATTTGATATCCACAAGGATGATAAGTTGGTTGGTAGTGTGATCACCTGTTATTTTACCCAAAAAAAATATAAATTTAATTGTTTTAGTTGCCTAATTGTTATTATTGGTTTCTACATGCAAACGCCCCATGCCCCTTCTCCCGGACTAGAGTTTTCTAATTCGTCGCTGCCGTATTAATTTCAAGAAGATGGTAGAAATGATAGTAGTGATTACCTCTCGTCTTACGAGATTAATTGACTGACTGATGCTTGAGAGTCTGGAGCTGGGATCGACATCCATCGCCCAGGCAAATTCTGCAGGCAGTAACTGGTTAGATATCTGCAAAGTTATTATATCAACCATGAAGAACATGCTTTTAATCACTGATACCTTTTTAATGAACTTCATGACGTATGTACCATCCCAGTGACTCTAGGATCAAGGTACTTAATCTTTGATGCTCCGAGGGCGACTGTCTTCAAAACCTATTCTAATATTCAACTCAGTTTCTCTATCTTTGCATCGACGAGGAGCAAATTTTCTTTCTAGCCTGCAAGTTGATTATTATGAGAGAGCTAAAATGTGATGGAAATTTCAAGGGATAATATATTTAAGCCATTACACTTTAGGAGAAAGGTTCCTCTTTGTCCTCCCTTCCCTGTCTTTAAGCAGAAGCTTTCCTTTCTTTGCTCTACCCAACTCTATTTTCAACCGATTCTGAGCCTATTAGCAACATCCGCACCATGTAATTAAGTAGATGATTTAAAGGTCAGAAAATAGAACCTTCAAATCATTCATCTTCTCATCCATCTAAGACAACGGGTTTTCATGTGACTTGGACACACTGACCTGATGATTACAAATAATGGCAACCTGTTTGACAAAAGATAACTCATCAGTTCAAAGACATTGCTTGTATTCACGACTAAAATGGACAAAACAGGAATGCCGGTACCTCCAATTTTTTTTCTTCTGGAACTGTGCCAATTTTGGTATCTTGATTCAATTGCCATGCATGCCAAAGTGATAAAGATTAAAATAATGATTTTGATTAGTAACTCTTCACTGTTGCAATGTGTTCCTCTCACAGAAGAATCAGGATCAATACAATATTAAATAGAATGGAAAATTCTATTTTGAGAGATAGCAAAGCAATCAAAAGCAGAATAGTACTAGACTGAACACAAATCTTTGTCCAGATCTGACATTGGTTTTGTAAAAAGAATGAAAATTGTAGGTTTAGAGAAGCACCTTTTAATAAAAGATGTCGCCGTAGAAACATCAAGGTTATTAGCACAGTATTAGGTACAAACAGGGATGAAGTAAACCTTATATATGAAAGGATTTTCCCTTTAAAGAAAACATAATGTTAGGGTTCGTTGTTACTGCTGATGACTAAAGTTCTGATAACAACATTCCCGTTGTATAACTCGGTTGATGCAACCATAAACAGCCAATACATCTCTTCAATGCCTGTTCAGCTATGACAGATTCCACTTGCATAAATCAAGTGTATAAGCAGACAGAAATTGTCTGAGTTATCAGGATATACTAAAAAATTAACTTCTGCATATCGGTAGTTAGGTGTAATCTTGCAGCTGAAAGTAATAAACCAGGAAAAAAATCAACTCTGAATAGTCCAGTAATCAACAAGGGAACAGAACAAGTCAGAATAGTCGTTTTGCATGTTAGGACACTTACTGAGCAAATGTTTAGATGCACAGTGTTCATATCTTCCCTGAGGAAAACACTTTTGAAACAAGGGAAGTATGCATCACTGACATCTCAAACTTGCATGGTTCACCAACACCTACCAGAATACCCAAGAGATGATGATGCATAAATGTACTCGCCAAATTCCATATGACAACTAATTTACTTCATGAGTTTCGCATCTTTAAATAGGATACAGGATTATGAACCTTGCCACTAAAGGCTAGTCTCTATGTCACCTCAAGAAAATAGTACAGACATCAAGTTTATTTAGGCATATACCTCCACCAAAACATCAAGCCACCAGAATGACATGAAAGCATTCTGGTTTTCAGAAATAGCACAAAATAAACAAATTGTAATTTACGCAAAGCTTGGTTAATCCAATGAAGAAGGGAAAAAATTAGATGCATATACGAAGCAAACAACTCAAATTCGTCTAAATTCATTAGTCAAAATTGTAAATCATATTGTAGAAAAATCGTTAAACATATAAATGTTTATTTTCCTCCGTTGCACAGTAACCACCATAGTAACTTCTTCAAACAACCATTCTATCAGCAAAGAAGCTAACCTTGAAAAGGTTAATATAAATTCAGTTTAATAAACAGATTTGAACCAAGAAAGTCCGCACACCAGAGGGATATAAGTACTCACCAACCAACAACTAATGCCTCCCCGTTGATGGTCAGTTCCCTTTTACTAACATAGTGGTAAAAACCATATGTAACTTCAAAATTCTTCAAAAATCAACACTTAGAACGGCAATCATCCTCATTACTATAGTTATTTCCTCGATTGAACCTTTTTATCATACTTCCCATGTTTTATGATATATGGCACAATATAGTAACTAGAGGATCCAGATCATAAAAAATGTATAATACAATAAAAATAAATAGAAAAAGATTGGTAGGAAACGCCAGAAACGAACCTCACAACTGGAATCGGGATCCAAGAACTGCAAGGAGCTATCATGAGAAAGCTAGGGACCGCCTCGGAGCCTTTGAAAGATGAAGCTAGGGCAACGAATTTTGGCGGGTTTAACGGCTTTGAGGGATTGGATCGCTCAATCCCTGAACGACAGAGGCAAATGTTAGGCTTTCTTGAAAATATGTAAGAATCAGATCCGAATCCTTTACGGCGGCAACCATCTATTAGGGATATGAAGCCGATGAAAATGAGATCGCCGAGCTCTCCAGGTCGATCTCAAAGAGATCGAAGGAGACGGCAGAGGGGGAACCAGCGGGAAACAGGTCTCCAGAGGCGAAGAGCGAGGAGAAGCTTTTCGTTTCCGTTTCCTCCAACCAGCATCAGAAACAGGCGGAAGGATAAGAACCGCGGCAGCGAATCGGTGGCGCCATCGCGGGGAGGGGAGGAGAGAGAATTGATGGGAGGGATTGCACCTTGGGACGGACGCGTTGGCGCGAGGGCGGTGCGGGATGGAGAAAGACGAGTACGCGCGTATATATCGGGGGGCGGGTGTTTGCGCGTGTAGCGGGCCGTTCGGGTGAACCCGACCGCTGAGCTCGTCAAGTCTGCCATTCGCCTTGGCGAGGAATTCTGGACTTTGGTTAAGTAAGATGAAGCATATTATACGAGGCTTTCACATGAGACCTGATAAGACGAATTTTGGATATAAGATACGTCACAATCGATATCATTCGTCAAGTCAGAATTCATATCGAAATGTTATTCAATATATCCTATCCCGAGAGCTCAGGGTGGTACCGTCTGACACCGTTCTGCATGTCCCGAGATGGTGGCCAGTTTGCAATGTTATCCCATCCCTCGAGGATAAGCGGTTACGTCGAATCCACATGCAATCGACTCTCGTACAATAGTATAAAAGCTCATGACCGGCATCCGATCAGGGGGAGAGGCAAAAATAAATAATCAAACCCACAATTGACTTACTTGTCGGAGGGGCCAAAGTCAGTAATCACCTGACAAATGTCATTTTTACAGATAAACAATCACCCGCAAGCCACGAGCGTCTCAGCCCAGAGGTTGCCATCCAGCCCGCGAGCGAGAGCTACCAACTGACCCGGAGACCGACAAACGCCGATAAGCATCTCTTCCCGAGGGGCACGACTACCTCGTCATCCAACTCAGTTGATAGGAGACTCCCGATATCGACCCGTGGACTAAGTCGTGCTGACTCATCTATTCACTAACATGATCTAATCGCTATAATACATATTGAACTAAAGAAATCAATATCTGAAAGCAAAATGGAGTTTGATTACTCGCCAGATTAAAAAAAAAAATGATATTTTGTTAAAAAAATTACTATTGAGCTTTTACTAAGGGATGCTTCCTAATTGGTTTTTACATCCGGCATTCTTTTGTCATCAAGTTGATGGAAATACCACTCTATCCTCCATCAATGACCTTTCATCCACCATCATTGGCCTTTTTATCATCTTTGTCACCTCTTGTTTCGATCGTAAGTGGTATCACCTATCGAATCTCCTCCCATTCCCTCGTCGTTTATTACTCATTATTTCATCCATTCCTCTCTCCTCGTTGCCCGAGGGAGATTTGTGTGGATGGGAGAGAAGAAAAAAAAGGTGATAGGAATGAACAGGTAGAGATGGAAAAGAAAGAGGAGACGACGATAGACGAACAGTAGAGGTAGAGAAGAGGGAGAAGGTCCGATAATAACATCATTTGAGACACGAGCAAGGGGCGACGATGTAGACGATGATGATCGAAAGTGATGGCAATGGCGATAACAACAATTAGAGACGATGAAAGATGAAAAGATATTTTTATCAAATTGATGAGAAATAATGCATCCACCTAAAAATAAATTAAAAAGGCATCACTTGGTAAAAGCCCAATAATGAGAGTTTTTTAAAGTAAAATGCTCTAAAAAAATTTATGCAACAACAAAAACACGATGAGGAATAAAAAGGATTTGCTAAACCATGAAACGAAGAAGATCCAGTGAGCTTCCACTGTTGTTGTGTTAATGTTCTATACTGCTTCTACATGTGATCTGTGATTTCAAGCTTTAGAGAGGCCATACTTGTAGTTCCAGTAATTTATTAAAAGATTGGTCATGGTCTCGCAAAACCATGTGAAGGTGAGTATGATCAAAGACAAGTTAAATTTTGCAGGACCTGCTCATTTCATTATTGATAGCTGAAATGGTCAAGCATCCACTCATGGTTTGTAATCATGCAGACGTTTGATCAGGTGCTCATAATTATGATAGCAAACGATTCATCCATCCTCCATTCGAGGACACTTGAAGCTACCAATTCATACTGCTTAATTGACTTCAAATGTCATCTATCACTGCAAGTGGGAGTTCTTTTGGGTCCTTCCATGGTTTAGGCCTTCATGGAAATAGGAAGGTCGCTTGAAGGGTACGTCTGATGGCCAGCTTTCCTCTTTGAACATGTGTACCCCTTAAAATTGCTCCATGAAAGCACAGCCACCCCAAAACTCTTTGCAGGGAATGCTGCTACCCTCTCTAACAGTCATCCAGTACAAGCTATATTCATAGCATATCCTTTTGGCCCATTGCCTCCCACATCTCTATCGGATAAAGAGAGGTTGCAGTGAACAGCTGCAGCGCCGCATCTCGTCGCTTCTAATCTGCTCCTGCATGTAGACAGGGAAGAACTAACTCCTTTGACGTCAAAACAGCGGGGATACGATCTTTATTTGCGCTGTATATGGCATGGCCTGTGTCTGGAACATAAGCACGTCACTGTTTGACCTAATAGAAGCTTTGGAAACCACCGGGATGCTTTCCATCTTCGTCTATCACGGAGATTTAAGATAAAGAAGTTGAGATATATGGCTCGGGTGGTAACTTAATTCCTGCGACGGTAATATAAAGCAGATGTTAACTTAGTTTCTCTTCTGCACCCTTTGGTTCTATAAGTTCCATAGTCGAGACCCTTGCAGTAACCCACGGCCTCTTCCTCCTCGTATCAAGAAAGATGAGATTTCTTTGGTTCCCTTTAACTCTTCTACGTTGTACTGTCTTCGTTCTCTGAGACCTTTTTGTTGCACGGCTGGTAGGTTTTCCGGTGCTGGAAAACATGGCAGTGGTAAGATAATGATGGTTTTGCTCAAGACCGCGCAGCACTTCCATATGACACCGCATCGCCGTGCTAACCTATCCATCAACAGAAAGGCCGTAGAAAGATGGAAAGAGTGGAGTTAGCGATAGGTCTGAACGTCGATGTGCTGGTTTATGGCCAGCCTGCGCGGTCCTGCGCAAGATCTTGCCATGATATTGCTTGTACTTCTAATGGCTTTTTGCTTCACAGGCTTCTGATCTCAGGCATACCTACTGTCATCAACGAAGAAAAGAATACAAGGAAGGTCGCAAGTTCTTCTTCTCCTCCGGTTTTTACGCAGCATCGAGATTCACATGGAGAAGAAACATATGAGTATGGTCTCTGTCACCTTCAGGTTCGGGCGGCCTACCACAACACGTATTCCCTTCCTGAGAAGAAAGGCTGTCCTTATGAAACAAAGGAGTTGGATCCACTCTTTCCTCTCCTGCACGCTGACCAATTATTACAATATGCATTGCATGATTGCCTTCTTCGCTGCTGGCTCTTCGATGAACTGCTGGTGGCGTTTGACGAAGCCAGGGGAACGGATAAGCTCTGCTTGGGTCCCACGTTTGGTCCACTGCTGTCTCAACTTTGAATCATCTGGTACCCGACACGGCAGCGATGGGTGTCCAAGTGGGGAATGTGCTCCCTTCGCGTGCGTGATTCCCATTCCATCAGATCACATCACAAATAATAAAGCTCATCTAAACCCGGCCAACGCTCATATACCCCAGATCGAGATCAAACGGTCAAACTTCCGGCACGTAAAACGTGTCCCGTGTCGTGGCCTTGCCGACGCCAGAGGGGTCCGCTCACCTGTCTCCACTACATCGTGCCCTCCTCCACGCGTCGGCTACTTACCCGCTTGTCTACCCACCTTCGGTGCGAGGCGGGGCCCGCCGTGGGACGCGTTCGGTGGCAGTAGGAGGAGAAACAATAGGAGAACAATATCCCTCATCCGTCATGACTGTAATCGCGACGAAACCACTACATCGTGCTCTCTCTCTCTCTCTCTCTCTCTCTCTCTCGCCCTTTGCGCGACCTTTGCTTCCCGCAGAATCCGGTGAATGCTGTAACTTCCTCCCAAAACCCACCAAGGGGTTCTGGTTCTTCAGTAGGGATCTCCCAGATGTTTCATTCGGGACGACGAACTGGGTGATTACGGATACTTGAAGTGGGTCGGCTGACTTCGGACGCCATACTGGGCGGAGGGACGAAGGATGGACATAACGGAGGCGTCGATCGTGCATCACTTAGCTTTGGTACTGCTGCTGCTTTGGGTTCTTGTGCAGTTGGGCTGGTCACACCCCGTCCTCTTCTTCCTGGCGCTGTTGTATCTCTACAAGGTGAGAAGACTAAGAAATTTGGTCCCTGGTTGCGTTGGATCTTCCGGTCTCGACTTCAATTTCTCATGTCGATTTCGAATGCAAAAAAAGACTCGCCGCTTCTTTTACCGGTCATCGCGATGTGGGGCTTACGTTGTGCTTGGGATGTGTGGTTGATTAGGTTTGGTTAATTGTGCGAGATGGAATTGATATTATGTGGATTGTTATTAGTTCCTTATTTTCTGTCATGTGTCGAAGAATCCACTGCGATTGTTTGACATGTTGTTGATATTCATTAAAATTTTCGTGCAGTTTCCTAGAAAATCTTATTTAGAGATTGGAGTGGAGTTCGAAAGTGGAGGATTGCGGTGAACGATTTCCTCGTTCAGTTTAGATTAAGAAAACGATGCCATAGATAAGTAAATTATGTTGTTTAGAACTTTTGCAGTTTAATGTGACATCAAAATTGGTAGAGACAAGGATTTCTGGAACTACCTGGGGAGCTTATCGCATGATCTTCTTAGTTGCTCCTCCTGTCGAAGTTGAAACTAGAGATTCCAAATTCATACTGATCGAAATTGTTTCATTGAACTTGTGCTGTTCATAGATTGGCAATTATAGAGCTAAACTAATGATATTCGCCAACGCTCTCATAACTACTGGAGAAATGGAATCAAGAACTAGTTAAGAAAGTGGTCTCAATGTATACCAAGTAGTCAATAAAAGTGGTTATTATTCCTTAAGCAAGTGTTGGATTGGTTTGGTCATGAAATGTAATCAAATCACAGTTGCTGTTGTCTCAGATGCAGCAAGAGCTAATTTTCTAGGCAAAGAATGGAAATATAATGCTTGGTTCACATTCTTCCAAAACATGCCTTACAAGCAGTAGATGCATGAGCCTGATCCATGGTTGGACTGGTCAGTACGTTGGATATGCTGACCAATATTGATCATGCAGCAGTGGGAAAAAAAATTGTGGAAAGCAGGAAATGTTCAAAGGATGAATCAAAGTGAGAAGCATACCTGCTTCTCCTCTTCTTGTCCTAAAGTTTCTGAAAAGTAAGTCATGGGAAGAGATCATGCCCTACTTAAATGGTTTTTGGTTCAAAACTTGTATGTTTGCAAGTACAGGGAATTTTGCAATTTCCTGAATAAGATAGTTAATCAAGCATAGCAAATTGTGAATCTAATCTAGTACTTTTTCATTACCATTGAGGAGATATTGTGGGCATTGTAGCACTAAATTTGAAGTTTTTGACATAGGTGCTATGTATACTAGCTTTTGAGTTCACTGATTGTCTGGGTAATTTATCAAGGACTAATTGCTGGCTTAGTAATCTAACCTTATGTACTTAGCTACTTTTTGTTTCTTGTTCCCTTTATTTGAATAGGTTTTCTCATGGTAAGACTTCCTTTTGCCTTAGTCTTGCATACATTGATGATTGACCCTTCCTAGACCCACAATGGTGGGAGCCTTGTACACCAAGTGATCCTTTAATTTTCTGATCATTCAGTAGTCTGAATTTTGGTTATATAAGATCAATATAGTTGGTTATGTTATAATGTTTATTTTAAGTTCTACTTTCTTTCCTTCTACTCCAGGTAAATGCATACTATACGTTGAGATTGCAGAAGCGATTGCAGTTTGAGGAAAGAAAATATGCCAACCAGCGAAGAGTATGCATGATATTTCATTTCTTGATCTTTGCACTATGTCTATGATAATATTTTATGTATGTCTCTTTTTAATGTCTCGTTGGTTTGTTTATGGATGGTTCCTATAGTTGATGGCAACATGCTAGTTTGTATTCTGTATAGCTCAAATTATGTTTTACTATCATCTGTTTATTTATTTATTTATTTGTTTGTTTGTGGATGTGGCAGCTTCTCTCAGATACAGAATCAGTTAGGTGGTTGAATCATGCTATTGAGAAGATATGGCCAATATGCATGGAACATATTGCTTCCCAGCAGTTTCTTTTGCCAATCATACCATGGTTCTTGGACAAATTCAAGCCCTGGACTGCTGTATGGACAGTACAGTTATGAGTCATTCTGTATTTGTTATTGCTATTATATGCTAAGCAACTGTTGTCCTTGTGATACATTTGCCTTTGTGTGGTGAGCTTTAATGGCATCCTCGACATGAGGTTGCTGTCCTCATGCTTCTTTACTATATTCTATTTTATGTGCTTTAGGGTGTCTGTATTATTTCTTTACGATATATGTGAGGATTTAGTTGTATGTCCTGTTTTTGGCAGCGGAAAGCAGTTTTGCATCATCTTTACTTGGGTAGGAATCCACCTATGTTTAGTGATCTAAGAGTTCTCCATCAGTCAGGAGATGATGACCACTTGGTATTTGCTGCTTTCTTTTTTTCTTTTGTACTTGTTAGATGCTACACTTGTTGGATGTAATTTTGTGATGCTCAAGTTCTGGTGGTACAGGTTTTAGAATTGGGGATGAGTTTTCTTTCAGCAGACGATATGAGTGCAAAACTTGCAATTCGGCTAAGGAAAAGATTGGGATTTGGCATAAAGACAAACATGCATATAACCAGTATGCATGTGGAGGGCAAGGTACACAAACCATCTCCCATTCTACAAGTAAATATGCATGTAATATTGCTGATTATGCATATATGAAATTTATTTAAGGTGTGTTTGGTTGCTTAGAAAATTTCATGGAAAATTGTTGTCATTAAAAATAAATATTTTCTGGTTTTTTTAACATGTAATTAAAGCATCTGGGGAGCTGTCATTCCAAATTTCTAAAAAAAGTTTCCAATTATTTTTTTCATGAAATGAAAAGATGACTTTTTCAGAAGCATTACAAAAAGAAAACTTGCCAAAAGCTCTTCCCTGGTGACTTTTAAGTATATTCTTTCAAAGGAGTAAGTTTTATTTTCTCCGGTTTTTCAAGCACATGGGAAAGTAACAGGAAAGAAGATCTTCGTTTACTTTTTCCTAAAATCTAAACTATTCATTTTTATTCTTTACTTTCCTCAGTTCAAATAATGCAATTGTTTTCCATGGGAAAAGATACATTGGCAAATTGGACAAAGATACATTGGCAATTTTCTTTCACCTTTTTATGCAGTCATATATACCCTCAGTAAATATGCACTGTCTTTTGATATGAGAGGGATCAAGTTTCTTTTGGAGACTCAATGTGGAAGTCAGTTATTTTTTCGGCAACCAAATAGACCCTTGGTAAAATATGGACTTGAGACGGATCAACTTCCTTTTGTAGATTCATTATGAAAATCAGATATCCGAGAATAGGAGTGGTGGGCATGCTTTTACAATTAGCTATCATTCGACTTAAATTAAAGTTGTGGCTGACTTCTAGATTAATGAATATTGTTTTGCATATGCATTTTATATATTCTAAGAATTTAAAATTAATGAATATTCCTTCCAAAAGTTCCAAATGAATGTCTGGGAGCTCTTTTGTAATTTACTTCTCTTTTTGGCAGCAAGCACACATGACCTGATATTTATTTCGTTTATTTTTTACTTTGTTTTAATGCAACTGGCATACACAAGAAACTCTCAAAAGCAGCACTGTTCTCACCCAAATATGGTCAAACTTTTGTTCTTTTTATTTTGAAAAGGCATATTGTCTAGGACAATGCTATATTTTAATAGTGAAGTGTAACAAAGGAAAAGAAATTATGAGGAAACAAATAAGAAAATTTTCACAGAACATTTTTTTATAAGATCATCAAAGCTCATTGTGGCATTCTATTTTAACATAAATTTATGAAGTTCTATATGTAGGTTCTGGTGGGTGTGAAGTTTCTCCGACATTGGCCTTTTCTTGGACGAGTTAGGGTATGCTTTGTGGAGCCCCCGTACTTTCAGATGACTGTAAAACCAATATTTGGACATGGACTAGATGTTACTGAACTACCTGGGATTTCAGGATGGCTAGTAAGTTTTAAGTAGTTGGCCCTAATCTCAAGTAGTCTTAAATACAACCAACTTTCTTCTCTACTCAATACCTCCATGTATGTGACTTCAGGATAAATTGCTGGATGATGCATTTGAGCAAACATTGGTTGAGGTCAGTAAATTGGTTCTCCATTATGGTCTTTATGCTTTTCTCTCAGCTTGTATATTCATAACCCAAAAAGTAAAGAAGTTACTTTTCCAATGAAGAAGTGTATATATTAAGATAGATAAATACACAACTCCTGTAAAGCTGATACAATGTACCAATACGTTAGATGGATATGCCTTACATCATGACACGAGAAAGAAAAAAAAGATACAACATGGAAAAGTTATAAAACTGTTTATATATTATATACAAGAATGCTTCATGTTTACTTCTTATGTTAGAATATGTAGTTCGAGCTTGATGTTTATTTATAATATATATATATGTGTGTGTGTGTATAGTGTTGATCATGATATAAACTATTTTAGAAATCTAGTATTTTATAAATGTAGACAAAATACTAAGAACTTTGATAAATGACAATCATTATATTAATTTCATTAAATAATATTTTTATTTTTAATTATATCTAAAATTTAAAAAATTGCAAAGCCAAACAGATTTCTTACATAAACTATCCACAAACTATACTTCTCAAATTGAATACAAGGTGTCCATTTGTATCTGTGAAATATCTTATGAGTCTCATTTCCGTCACATGTTGTTATAAATACGACAGGTAATTCCATCTAAGATTCATGTTCCATAAACATTTCTGGAATATCATTGTTCTTCACTTTTCTATTATAGTTTTCACTAGTAATTCTCATTTCCAAATCAGGAAGACCTTGTGATTGGACAATACAACAAAATATATTATTGATGTAAAAGCTTTAAGTAAACTTATCTTAACACTTTAAATATTCAAGACTTTGTGATGACGGGCTAGTTATTTAATTTTCTCTGGAAATATGACTAATGTCGATATTCCTGCACAGCCAAACATGCTGGTTATTGATGTGGAAAAGTTTGTTTCAGCTCCTGAAGGTGAGTGATAGTGGAAACTTCTTGCCTATCCAGCTATACTTGTGAAGTCCTTTCTTTTTTTAATATACAATATTATAGTTTGTAACTTCGGTTGTTAAAATTTCCTCTCTCTGTTATATCTTAGGATCATCTGTGTCTTCCAAAAGTCAAGTTTTGTTACTTTGCTGTACAATGTTACTGAAGCTTTGTGATGGGTAACAAATTATTAACATTTCTTATTATGTATTAGCTAATGTATACATATATTATATAATTTATGTCGATAGCTGTGAAGGAGAGCTGTGAGATTATACTACGACATTCATGATCATTTAGTCTCTTTCAACCTAAGATGAATTAAGCGACAAGCTCCCACTCCTCTCGTAATCACAATTATAATCATGAGAAACCATTTTAGAATTAATTGTACATACAACCAAGATCAGGAGGACAATAAAAAAAGGATGAGCCTAGTGTATAAGGTTCCTGCCAATGTTGGGTCTAAGGAAGGTCAATGTCCGTAATCTTACCTCTATATTCAAATATGTTTCTAAGCCTAGGACAATAACAACTTGAATTAGCTCTTCATGATGTAGTCAAAATTAAGCAGCTATCAATAGGAAGTTTGTGATGGGCTAGGAATGCATTGTGTCAATGTGTGAATAAAGATGTGGGTTTTAGGCTTTCTGATCCATATAAATGTGTCATGTTCTTTGTTCTTGGTGGTGATCATGAACCTTGTGGCTGTTTCATGATTCTTATTTGTTGTTGGGGTTTCTCAGCATCTGCATGCTTACTTTGATCATATGTTGTTCATGAGATTTTAATCCATATCCATATGCACAAAAATGGATATGCACCGTACTATATGAGCTAAACCACATGATTTTTTTTTGTGCATTACCATTTTTAACTAATTTACATGATATTTATCTTATTACTCACTAACAAACTTTACTTGATGCAAACAATTGGGAAAAACGTTATTTTTGAAATATTACAAATTTGTTTTCCTTGATTGATTGCTAATTCATTGAGCAGTCCTACATGAAGGTTCATATTCAGTGGTCATTTGTGCGGTCTGGTGATAGAATTTTTGGTAGGACTAGTAGCAACATAGTGTTCCTTTTGCTATATTGGAGCTGAGAACAGACTGAAAAGCATGCTTTCTGAATTTAGTGATTTCAGAAACTTTTGAGGGAATCAAGACATTGGCTATTGGAAGAGTGGTTACCTACCCATGTTTAAAATGTCAAAATTATGATGCCATAACTAAGGACATTAAAGAGCTGTTGTTTTCAATATTCATGTTATTTTTGTGATGGAATCTGATTGGGTCCATTGAGATGTCAGTTAGCCTTCTGTCTTATGTTATTATGTTTTAAATGATTTCCTGAAATATGCTTTTTTACAATCTTAGAATGTTGGTTCACTGTCGAAGAAAGGTCTCTTGTAGCACATGTGAAGTTGGAGATGTTAGAAGGGGCGGACATGAAACCATCAGATCTGAATGGTATGCTTCTTTTGATCTTCTTCTTTCGAAGGTAGGGTCACTATTGAATGCTGTTGTAGAAGTGAACTCTTCCAATAACTGCTAAAGCCATGTTGCAGGACTTGCTGACCCATATGTAAGAGGACAACTTGGTTCTTACCGATTCCAGACAAAGATCCAAAGGAAAACGTTGTCTCCAAAGTGGTTGGAGGAGTTCAAGATTCCCATCAATTCATGGGAGGCACCTAATGTACTTGTTCTTCAAGTTCGTGACAAGGATACCATTTTTGATGACATGCTTGGGTTCGTTCATACTTCAAACATGCTTCTTTTTTTCTTTTTCTTTTTTTTTGCACAGATCATCAGATGTAGCTTGTTATCAGTTTATAGCAAAAATCAAAGATCTGATTCATCAGATATCTCTAGGTGAAGGCACATCTGCCCATAAGAAACATACATAAACCATCTGTTTTTTCTCCAAAATGATAAATAATTAGGTACATGGACCACAAAGAGCAGCTTGCATCCACCTGGAATGTTCCTTTTGTTAGGTGATGAGCTTGTAGCTATCTTGTTCCTTATGTTTTACTGTCGATTAATGTTTGCTAGTATTGATCTTTTAGCATGGCCTAAGATTTGCTTGATTGGTTTTTTACGAAAAAGGTTTTGCGTTAACAGTACATGTAAAGAAGTCTACTCCATGTTAAGCTTACTAGCATGATTCTTAATGATGTTGTGTTGCATTCAGTATTTAGAGTCGGATTGATATATGCTTCACCAGGGTTTCAAATGTTGATGGTTCCATTCGGTATGGACTGGTATTTACCTGTATGATCAAGTATAGTTATCGAAACATATGGTTTGATATATTATTTTTTTATTATGTGATGTAATAATATCAGATGTTATACTTCGGTATATTACTTGTAATACTATACAACACTGGTTCAGTAGGTTACCCAAGCTAGCATCAAGCTGAGATTAAAATCCTTATGCTTGACTGATGTTATTTAGTTTCCTGTGCAAGAGATATTTGACATTTTTTCAACAGTAACTTTTTATCATCTAAACATTGTAGAACGTTCAGATTTTGACAGTTAACTTTCCATTGCCCTGCAGAGATTGTTCAGTAAATATCAATGATCTGAGGGGCGGACAAAGGCATGACATGTGGATGTCACTACAGAATATCAAAATGGGTAGGATCCACTTGGCAATAACTGTACTTGAAGAGGAACTACAGAAGGTAAGCCAACTGCAGTGCTTCATAACCATATTGGATAACAAAGCTTGATTACCACAACTTAAACAGAATCTCTGCAGGAGCCAAAAGATCTCAGCAATGATGAAACTTCGAAGACGATGGTACCAATGCCAGGCACATTCAATGAAAAGGCTGAAGATCTTAATACTGAAGAATATTCTATGATGACTGATGAGTTCGAGCCCATTAATATTAAGGGGCTAGAAAAGACAGTAGCATGGATACATCGGCCTGGTGCTGATGTCTCCCAAACCTGGGAGTCCCGTAAAGGGCATGCTTGGCATTCTGAGGAGCTCCATCAGGTGGACAAAGTCTACACTAAAAGCCCAAGTCCATCATCGTCCAGGTCTGATCAAAGTGACACCAGTAGTAATGAAGAAATTGTTGGTGGAAAGAAAGTCCGACTTAAAACAATCAGAAGAGGCCTGCACAAGTTGAGTTCTGTATTTCATAGAACTCGGAAGCAAGGAAGTCCCAAGGAGTCTCAAGAAGTTACTCCCACACCACGACCCAACCTTCCACCACTTGGTGAGAAGCGGGCATCAAGAAAGATCACAGTGCCTGACAGCTTTGATGAAGATAATGATGAGCCCGAGCCAGATGAGGAGAGATGCAGCTCTGTCATGGACAAGGGAGAAAGCCCAGGCAATGGCGAAACTCCCCAGACTCCAAAGAACTTCATAAGCAAGTCATCCAAGAGTCTAAAGATCACGCCGAGCAGGGAGACTTCCAACATGCTGAAAGAGGTTCAGTCATCTGGAGCTGAAGACAAAGATGATTCTCAGGGAACCAACTTGTCAAATGATGCTTCGGTGAATGATCCACTTGTCTCAGCAGGATCTCCAACAAGTATTTCTGCATGTACCGACAACGATAAGGTAAACACCAGTGGTCCTGTCCAAACAAGCCAGGATGACAGGTAAGACACCATGAAGTAAAGCTAATACAGCAAAATTGCTCAGATTGTCGTATTTGGTTCTTGGGGAGGACCAAAGTATAGTTGGAAAAGTTTGTGTGCCATATGTTGATACTTAAACAAGTGATAGGATACATGTCTTCTTGAGGGCTACTTCGAATCGGAAATCATTATCCTATATATTGCTTTATGCTTGTTATAGAGTTGATACTTATTTTGGCACTGTATATCTGTTTTACACTGTTCTATTGCCACTGTAAATTGTTGAATAAAATGCATATTTCGGATGGTTTTCCATGCTGAGTATTTTATTTGGCAAATGAGTCTTGGGTGTCTCTTATCTGCTAATGAAGATTAAATTTTAGAACCTACTGCATCTGAAGTGTTGCAAGCTGAAGTTCTTTAGATTCAAAAAGAAGACTACATTGGTCTGATGGTGTTAGCTCCAAAAAAAAAAAAAACTCCCAAAATTTGAGAATAGTCTTTTTTTTTTTTGAGACATTGGAGAAAGATTAGTACTGAGAGAATAGCATATTTGTGGTCAAGCTTAGGATGGTTTAAATAAGGTAGCAGCATGATGTAACAAAATTTGTTTTTATTGATTTTTATTTTTTTAATGATTATATAACAGTTCGCTTTAATTTGTACCATAATGTGGGCCCCTAATTGTGCCACGTGGACATCGAACTACAAGTTCGGGTCATTAAAGGTGAGTGAGATTATGCGTTGACCTGGCTAATTGGGCCCATCGGATGTAAGACAAAAGCCCGGCACCCAAAGAAACATGTGGGCTCAATTAAGATATCTCTTCTGGGTCCCACACTATCTGCAATAATAGGCAGGTATTTTTTCGGGTAAACTAAAATAAAAAAGCCAAATTACGTATATTTTCCTCTAAGTAACTCATTTCCATGATTACCCTTCACGATTAGAGAGGTAATTTTGCTAATTCCAAAGTTTGAGAGGATAGATATGTAAAAATGAGCACAGGGCAAAAATACTTACCCCCTGTTGTTTCCGGGTGTTATGCATCTGTGGCCCCGCACATAGTATCGAATCATAGGAAGAGTCGTCGACGGGGGTAGCTACAGTGCCTGTGGACAGAACGTATAAAGGTTCAGTTTTCGGCCGTTCTGACCTCCCACGTAAGCGGCCAATTCCAAAGAGTAGAATTCGTCTCGTTCCCCACCTCCAACGATTCATCCCCCTTCGTCGAGCTCGGCGTCTCCCCAGCCTCCCCCTCTTCCCCTCGATCCGGTTTCCTCCTCCCCTCTTTCTCCTTCCCTCTCTCCTGACGACGTCTTTCTTCTTCGGTTCCGTCGGATCAAACTCGAGGAGGGGGGGAGAGTGCGTAAAAGAGAGGAGGCGGGGTGATTATGGCGTACAGGGCGGACGAGGACTACGACTATTTATTCAAGGTGGTGTTGATCGGGGACTCCGGGGTGGGGAAGACCAACCTGCTCTCCCGCTTCGCCCGCAATGAGTTCAGCTCCGAATCCAAGTCCACCATCGGCGTTGAGTTCGCTACCCGCACCATCCGCGTCGATGAAAAGCTCGTCAAGGCCCAGATCTGGGACACCGCCGGCCAAGAAAGGTCCAAATCATAACCAATACAATAAAATCGAAATCCTTTTTTTGGCTCTTTCATTGCCCGTTCATCGATTCTTGATCGCGACCATATGCCCGCTATTTCTCTTGATGTTGAACTTCCTCTTCGCATTTCATGTTTTCATCTGCTTTCTTCTTCCGTTTTCTCTGTTTCTGCAGTTGGTGGTATCCAATTTTACTCTGAAGAAAGAATCGATTGCTTGATTTGAATGAATTGTTTCTCCTATTTAAGAGAGGCTTGCGCGTCTTGGTTCTACGATTCTTGTGATTATACGACAATCTAATGTGTTGTGGGGAATTGTTGGCATGAGATCAATGTTTTGTTCCTTTTTCCCCTAATCTTTTGCCCCTCCATTGTTCCTTTACTCTTTTCCTTAAGAATAATCTCTTTCTCCTTTTTAGAATTCTGAGGCTAAGCGTAGTATTTTTGTATTGATACTGCCATAGGATTCTACATGTGTTTGCTAAGCCGTTGCTGATCAAAATAAAATATCTATTTGCGGCTTAATCTTTTAAGAACACAACAATTTAATATCCATAATTGATCAATTAATTTATTGAATCTTAATTATATAATTATGGCCAAAATACTTCAGTATATTAATGGTAGTATATCAAATCCCTCAGCATGCCCGATGATACGTCAACTTTGATACCATTTGTCATGACTCAATTCGATGGAATAATTGATTCATTAACCTAACGATAAGTTGGCTCTCGTATGGTTTAGTCTGATGTAATAATTAACTCGTTAAGTTATCGAGAATGATCAATTTTTAAATCCAGATTAATGGTAGTATATTCGATAACCAACATAAGTCATGTCTCATTTTTTATCTGAGATTATACCAAAGTATTATATTTGGTTTTTAGTTCTTTCAAACATGAGATAAACTATAGTTTGTCTTAGGAAGGTTGCTCTAAGCAATTCAAGTCGCAAGAAAAAGAGAAAACAGAAAATACTACTATAGATTATATTGCATCATGGAAGAGAAGTTAGATACAGGAAAGTTCAACTGTAATTGATGACTATTGGCAACAGAAAACATCATCAATAGATTACTGTTAGACCATTTATATCAAGAATTCTGGGCATTTTCCTTGAGTATCATATTGCATCTTTCTTTGAATGTAGATTATATCAATCGCTATGCTGAGCATTGCATGATATTCTCTAAAATGTAATCATTTTAATAGTGAGCATGTTTCAAGTAAGGATTCCGATAATAATCCTTGTATTATGTTTCAGATAGACTATAAATGCTTGGTGATAATTCTATTCTGAATTGTGTCATATTATAACTTGGAGATCGGCTTACTCCTGTATTTGCAGATTGATATGTGTGCTATCCTGTTGTTCTTTGCTTGTATAGATACCGAGCAATTACTAGCGCATACTACAGAGGGGCTGCTGGTGCCCTTGTTGTGTATGATGTGACTCGCCATATCACCTTTGAGAATGTCGAGAGGTGGCTGAAGGAACTACGGAATCACACAGATGGAAACATCGTCATCATGCTTCTGGGCAACAAAGCTGATCTACGTCACATAAGGGCTGTCTCGGTAGAGGATGCACAGGCGTTTGCTCAACAGGAGAAGGCTTTCTTCATGGAGACCTCTGCTCTCGAGTCGATGAACGTGGAGAATGCCTTCACTGAAGTGCTGACACAGATCTACCATGTGGTCAGCAAGAAGATGCTTGACGTTGGTGATGACCCCTCTGCCGTGCCCAAGGGACAGACCATTAATATAGGCGCTGAGGACGATGTGCAAGCTTCTAAGAAAACTGGTTGTTGCTCAGATTAGTTCACCATTCATCTCCCTCAAGTTTAGGCGCATGCTGCTTGGCATTTCTTTTGTAAAGCTCGAGGAGGAGGCACTAAATGCTTCAAGAACATCGAGCACCATACACAGGTTTTGTAGCTGGTAAGAAAATATGAACCTTTCCCTTGTTTCAGAAATGCAAACTTAGTGGGTCTTCTTCTCTTTATTCTTTTTATGACTTGTATTTCTCATTACAGACATGTTTCTCTTGCTTACTGTTTGTTGCCTTTCACCATTTGTGTATCATCAGAAAAAGAGTGGTATATACATAAACTTTGGTTGGTTCTTCAAGTTTTTTCTGATGGAATCATTGAGCTACATGTCTTATAATTGGCAGGAAATTTACACTGGTGGAGATGTCTTGCATTAGATTACCAGAATTCAGCTATTGTTTCATGCTTCGTATAGGTCATATTAAGATTTATAAAGGAAAATATGATATTTACGAATTTTGCAAGGATCCAAATGTAAAACTACATAAAAGTAATATAAACATTACGATGATTCCAGTGGCGGTCGAGGACGCAACTCGTTATCCGCCCGTTTCACGGTCTCAATGCTCCATTCTCACCGCTTCCTCTCCCACTTCGCCCCCTTCGCTTCCTCCCCAAACCGTCCTCCTCCTCCTCATCCTCCTCTATTCCTCCGCCACGCTGCTTCCGGCGCCCCGCTTGGCGTCCGCGCAGCCGGACTCCGGCCGTTGCTCGCCGATCTCTCGGAGGCCGTTGTAGAACCGGAGGATGGAAGCGGCGGCGGCGGCACGGCAGGCCCCGTCGAACTCCCGCCATCGTCTGGCCCCGCCATCTTCGCAGTCGATGATAACCCTACCCCGCTTCAGGTCTCCACCAGCGTCCTCCTCACCGGCGCTATCTCCGTATTCCTCTTCCGCTCTCTCCGCCGCCGCGCGAAGCGAGCCAAAGAACTGGTGATTGTCTCTTGTTTCTTCTCGGATTATGCTCTTGTTAGTGCTTCGGCTATCTCGACTGGGGCGTTCTGTGTGTAATAGAAAGTGAGGTCGAGCGGGGTGAAGGAAGCGAAGAACCAAAAAGCGGAAGCTTTGGATAGATTGAAGGCGGTTGGCGCGGCGCCGCTGGAGGCCGGGAAGCCACCCTCCCCCGCGCAAGCATTGCTGGGTGGTATTGCGGCTGGGGTCATCGCCCTCATACTTTACAAGTTCACCACCACAATTGAGGCTGCTCTTAATCGTCAGGCTATCTCCGATAGCTTCTCGGTTGGTGCTCAATGGCCATCATTCCCTGCTCTGCTTTGCTTCGATCCCTTTAAATGCATGACTAGTTCAATTTTCCTGTTTATGATGAGCATTTCTGTTTATTAGGTCAACACAAACTTACCGTGTCAAAAAAAATTTCGGCATTGTTAAGCATTATTTCTTGTTTGCTTGTGAACTTCCTATTGGTACAAAAGTCGATTGGCATCTTGGAATTTGGAAGCCACAGAGACGCTGGTTTTAAGTGAAATGTGCATCTTTTGTGTTCACAGACTACCTCCATAAGGAGAGAGTTTTCGAGTTTCTACATGGTTTTGGTTCGTCTATGCTTTCATGTGCTATCATAAGCAAGGGCGAAAGTTTGCTTTCCATATATCCCCTTTGGCCAATTACATTATGGACGGATTCAAGATGATTGAGGCCGCGAAGGATTTTGGCCCTTTGTATTCTAAATTTAGATATGCCTTCAGTTTAATTAGAGAGAATCAGGATAGTGTGAATTACTCTGTGTTGCTTTATACCCCAGACATAATTTTAGCTTGCATATTGGTTGGATTTGGTAATGTGCTCTTATTTGTAGATTTTTTTCTTGGATCAATTGCCTTGGATGAGTTTTTATGGAAAAATGGAAGGAACATATATGTTCTTTAGAGATGACAGAAAGAGGACATTTATTTTCTTCTTGTGAGTATTTGATAGGACTGACAAGTGAACAATTATTTCTGAAATGTCTTTTAATAAGTTCCAATTGATTATATCTAAGTGCTTAAGGTATTCAACTGATCCAAGATAGGTTTTTTATGTTCCTTCATGATACATTGAACAATCACATCAAGCAGTCGAGGGGTGTTTGAGCACCTATTATTGTTAATTTTCAAATAAAGCCTTTTATATAGGTGAAGCCAAACTGGCATTTGTTAAGGACATCGCATAGCAACGAAGAATATGGAGGGAAGGGACAGCAGTTGGTCATGTTAAATGCTTTAGTTTCTTTAACAACATATACTATTTGCAATCAGTATACTTAATTTTGAATTCTCGATGTCCTAAACGTCCATCGAAACCAGTTTGGTTCATCTCTTACTTTAATGTTAAAAAATCATCAAATCATCACTAGCTATGGAGCCATCTGCCTGTTTCCAAGTAAAAGTATTACTAACCTGAGCACCGAGGCAATCCAGAAAGTTTTGTGCACTGATCTCTAAGACTCTGGCAGTGCATGAAGGTCTGCTGGAAGTGAAAAGAGGAAGGTAACCCATCTCATTCAAAGAGTGATTGCTTGCAATTCATATTTTTTTCCAAAGTATACCTCTGGAGAATTAATTACTAATATATAATATTAGAACACTAGCTGAGAAATTTTGAGCAGATCAACTTGGGCTCTATACGGTTGCTGGTTTCTTTTTTGTTGCCTATTTTTCCAAGGAGGAAATGCTTGTCCACTTGTTTTGGTTGTCATGAAGAGATGCCTCCTGAGGCTCTCCAGTGCTGTAGGTCTGATGTAGGCGGCAGCAGAATAATTGAGTTATGCATGACCTCTCAGATAATTTTATCGAAAAGAGTGAGATTAACCTATTCTACCCATGAATGGTTCTTGCCAGTTATTTTACACGTGTCGTTGTTAAATTGTTGAGTCTCTAATGATGTTGATTTGGTGAATATAAGAACAATTTGGCTTTCATCTACTACATACTTCTTTTATGTTTAGTTGCAGAAACAACAGCTAGGCTGTCTTTCTTTATGCTTAATCTGGACAGCATGTTTCTGTCTATGATGGTGTATGGTCTGCCTAATGCGACTTTGATTTAATGTTTTTTCAGGTTCGTCAGATAACAATAACGATAAGGTGCCCCTCAAAATCTTTGCAATGTCTATCATCAGCCCTTTGCTACTTTCCGTTTGCGCTCTCAGACTTCTCACCTTTTGTTTCAGGACTATCATAAATGGTCTTTGCTACCTCGCAACATTTGTTTTCGGTGTCAATTCCATCGGCTTGATGCTCTATGCTGGTCAGCTTGCTCTTGGCTCCATAACAGAAAACCCTAAAACTTCACCAACTTCGGAGAAAGATGATGGTCAGCTGAGTCAGAGGGCATCTGCTGAGAGCACCGCCAATGTCATTGAACCCAGCAGCAGTGACACGCCAGAGAACTCGGACGACACCAAATCACCATGAATAAATTGGATGTGTCAGCTGTTAGTTTTGCTTCTTTGTACCCTTGTACATGTTAAATTTATCGATCTACCATTTCAATTTTTTTCCTCGAGACTTCATGGATGCTAATATTTCTAAACTAGCGGGATTATTTGATAGCGATGACACCAATTGAGTGGACTTGATGATCAAACTCATTAGCGAATGCTTAGGATTCTGGATATTATTTTTCTTAGAACATGCGTGTGTTTTTTTGTAAGGGTAAATGACGAAGACGATATCAAATTTTGATATCTTCATTCATTGTGAGACCATAGAAGATTAGATTCATTTGATACTATCAAAAGGGATTCTGTTGTTGTCTTTTGTAAGTTAATCCTTTGGATTTCATCATGTCGGGCCTCTTCAAAGTCAACAGCGTGCAAGCTCGGAATGGGTCCGTTCAATAATAACACAAGGGGAGCCACGTCGACTTCCATATAGCCAAGTCAACGGGGTGACGTGGCCTAATATTTATATACCAAGTACAAACCAATCGCAGGAAGAACACAATACCAAATACAAGTCAATAAAGGGGGAGTACACGAAACATTATTGTGTGAAGTGGCTGTACACGTAACATATAAAATAGTAGCACACGTCATTCACCAAAATATTCTTTTTTTGAAATTAATATAACATCATGTGCAAAACAAAAATATATAGTTTTTTTCCTTCCTTTACAATCAGCACTAGTAATGCATAAAACTTATAAATACTCAGCAATTATTTAAAAAAATACTGTGACTTCAGTTTTGAATTTTTCAACTCTTATTTACGTGTTCGAAAAAATTGAAATTCTTCAAAAAATAAAAAATTAAGATTTAGTTTAAATATGCAATAGCAACATTATTTTTGAACGGTTTATACAAATTTCAGAAGAAAACGTATTGTCATTTAAAACTTTATGTATATAAGATGCACATAATTAATTTTGTTATACAATCATAGAAGGAGGAAATAAAATGCTTCAGGATATAAAAAAGAAAAAAATTAGATTTAAGAAGAATGGCTTCTATTGAATTGGGTATAAAAATTAGAGGGGGGTGCAAAAACACTAAATTTATAGTGATCCACATCATGCTTATCCATATATATATATATATATATTGATGATTGATGATTGATGATGGTAGATGTCATGAGGTCATCCTGTGGGCTCATATATTCACCTATTCGTGTTTGTTCTACTGTCCCAATAGCAGCCATTCGTGAGCTAAAGATAGATTATTAGCCTCGTTTTCTCGCAACCCATTCAAAGTTTGAAATTATTAAGACCAAAGGACCTCAACGTGTTTGCAGCGATCAACTCACCAACCTCACCGGTCATTATATCTTCTTCGTTGCATGCCTTATTTGCCGAGTTCTGAGACAGGAGAAAGCAGCAAAGAGAGATCGAGGAGGACGAAGCCAGCAACGGGCGTGCAGGAAATGGAGAATCCCGGGAGAGAAGGTGACCCGGAGGCTCAGCCTCTCCTAAACCATGAAGCCGGCGATCGCATAACCGCGATACAACAGGTCATCAGCCAGACGTACCAAGGCACCGCCCACCTCGCCAACCACCTCCCCACCGGCACGGTGCTCGCCTTCCAATTCCTTTCCCCTGCCTTCACCACCTTCGGCCGCTGCACCGAGTCGAGCCGGTTCATGACCGCCTGCCTCCTGGCCCTCTGCGCCCTCTCCTGCTTCCTCCTCAGCTTCACCGACAGCTTCTACGACGAAGCAACCCGGCGGGTGCGCTACGGCGTGGCCACGTTCCGGGGCTTGTGGGTCATCGACGGCTTGCAGCCGGTAGCGCCGGAGCTGGCCGTGAGCCACCGACTGGGGCCGTTGGACTTCCTCCATGCCTTCACGTCGTTGGTGGTGTTCGCGGCGGTGGCGTTGCTCGACAAGAACGTGGTCTCGTGCTACTACCCGATGCCCACCGACATCGAGCTTCAGGTCCTCACAGCGTTGCCGGTCGGGATTGGAGTTCTCGGCAGCGCTCTGCTCGTCACTTTCCCCACCATCCGCCATGGAATTGGGTTTCCAGTTACTCATACGCAGTAGATTGATACCGATGTTGGTAGCGTTTGCTCGTTCTTCGGTTGTCTCCGTGATATTGTTTGTCCATTTGCTCTCCTTGTTCTGTTCACGTATCTGTGGACTGGAGAAGACTCGACATGCATGCCATGTTTGTTTGACTCTCTCAATGTAAGCTTTTGGCATATCCACGCTACCAACCAATAACAAAAAGATGTAGTTTGTCTCGATCTAAAGACGACAGTGATATAGCAATGGGCTCAACCATCCCCTCTGTTTTGGGGCAGTAGGAGGAGCGAGCGACACGCGTGGGCGAGCAAAGTAGGTGGCGTGCATCGACGAGCAGACGAGAAGATGGAAGAGAGAGAGGAAGGTATTTTTATCGAACACCTTGAGGAACACGATTGTCTCAGACGATGACCATTCCAAGCTCTGTTCTGATCTTAGTTGGAAGAGTCAAATCCGTGAGACAGTTACACACGCCGCCTTCGTAGTCGTACAACCTTGCAAGTAATTCCCATCTTCACCTTCATATAGCTGCTCATCTTCGACCTTCGATGAGCCATTCATCGTCATCGAGGGGTCGAGAGCTTCGGAGCAGAACGAGCCGTCCGTCCACGAAATGGCGTCTATTATGAGGGAAGAGGATCAGGAGAAGCAGCAGCAGCCCCTCCTCACTCCTCGTGGATCTTCATCATCGGCTGAAGGGCAGATGACATCGTTGCAGAAGCTCCTGGGGCAGACGTACGAGAGCACCGCCAACCTCGCCAAGTGCCTCCCCACCGGCACCGTGCTCGCTTTCCAAGTCCTCTCCCCCATCCTCGCCGACGCCGGCCACTGCACCAAAGCCAACCAGGTCATGACCGCATGCCTGGTGGCGCTCTTCGGCCTCTCCTGCTTCATCTTAAGCTTCACCGACAGCTTCCGCGACGAGACCACCGGCCGGGTGCGCTACGGCGTCGCCACCATCAAGGGCCTGTGGGTCATCGACTCCCTGAAGCCGCCCTCGCCGGAGCTTGCCGCCAAGTACAGGCTAAAGCTCATCGACTTCATGCATGCTTCGGTGACGCTGTTGGTGTTTGCGGCGGTCGCCCTGTCGGACAAGAACGTGGCGTCCTGCTTCTACCACATAGGTAGTGAGAACAGTAAGAAGTTGCTCGAGGCCCTTCCCGCAGTGATCGGATTTATCGCCAGCACAGTGTGCGTTGCTTTTCCGAGCACTCGCCACGGCATCGGCTCTCCGGTCTCCGCCATCTGATGATATATGTTGCCTGGTTTCGTTGACTTCTCCTGCTTCTTCTGTTGGTGTTCAAAGTCAATGGATTAACAGTTGGTCGTTATCTGGTTAAAGAATTGTTTGCGTGCTCATGTGAGAGACTAATTGAGTGCAGACCAGCAATGCGTGTCGAGTTCCAAGTTGACTTGGGAACAAAAACATATATATATATATATATGCGTTTGCCGGGAGTCGAACCCGGGTCTATTGCTTGGAAGGCAATTATCCTTACCGTTGGACTACAAACGCTTTAATGACTGAAATTAACTTTAGTTTATTTTAATCTTACAATAAAACGAATCTCAAAGATACATTTCTCATCTTTCTAGCATTTCGATCGTCCAATTCAACTGATCATTAGATGGACGGGTTTGATCATTTCGATCATCCATCTCGAACTTTATGCAGTCAACAATTATTATTTCCGGAAGAATAATATATGGAGCATCAAATAATAATCTCGGAATAAGATGGGTTACAACCACGCAAGAATGCTCAAACCTTAATCCGTCAGAACAATGGCCTGAAGAGTGTTCAAAGAGAAATCATTCTTGTGCTGGTCTAAGAGTTGGAATCAGTGAGCAAATCTGTTTCGGAACATTTCCCAGAGTCTCTGTACATGATGAATATAGGGTACAAACAAAAGGTAAGAGTTCGTCAAAGAGAAACCCTACTATGTCCGGAGAGGAGGGAAGAAGAAGAAGAAGAAGAAGGAGCTCTCTCTGCATCGGCCTCTCACTCGATCTGTTGTGGCCATTGCAAGCGCCAGCAGTGCTGTATCTTTCATCCAACTCTTGATTCTTTTAGTGCTGACCGCGTTTGTCCTGAAGAATTCCGGTCGCCTACGGGCTCATCTCCCATCCTCTCCAACGCGACTCGACGACCTCCGTAGCCATCGACAAGAAGAAAATTATTGTAATCGTCATCGCCAGGAAGAAGAAGGAGAAGAGACAAGAGAAGGTAAGTGATGGAACGGGGTGTTGGTTGGGGATGTACATGGGACAAGACAAGTCAAGAAATCACATCATATCAAATCGCAAAGATTCATGTGAACCGAACTGTTGTCGATTTTTAGCCAATGATTTCATCATCACACTCCCCGAGTCACACACACACACCTTCTAATTTATGGGAAGATGATAAGTAGTAGAGCATGCAGTAAGTCTCTGCAACCAAGTTTGCGAAGTCTGAACCCACACACAGTAGTGCTACCGCTTCGACGACGCAGAGAGCCTGCTGCTGCTGCTGCTGCTGTGTCCATTCTCCGAGGGTTCATTAAGTCCACCAACCTCCATAACCAATGCATTCCTGGTTCCCGAAGGTCCGTCGCATGCACCTCAAGGCTCAGGGCATGGCCTTCCTTGATCGAGGAGGCCGGTTGAGCTCCGAGGAGGCGAGTGACAGTGCGAGTGTGAGTAGAGCTGCTCCTCGCATTAATGAACGCCAAGCCACGCAGTGAATGAGAAGTCGGCGTGTTTACGTAATCCATTCCTCATCCCCATCTCTCTCTCTCTCTCTCTCTCTCTCTCACACACACACACACATCAATCCATCCATAAATAATATTCATGTTGTTTAATTAATCGTAATTAGTCACAAATAGTCTAAAAAGGCAGGTAATAATGAGAGGAAGAGAGAAAAAGGATTAATGGAAGATGGGAGAAATATAGAGGAGGGCCGGATAGAGACAAACACATAATGCGTTGGAGATTAGATGGAGAGAGCGATGTTGATTTGATGTTAAAGCCGGCGGATCCCCTCGCGTCATCCGTCTAAAACTCCGAGCTCTCGACATGTCAAGATCTCGCCATTCTCATCACCGTCAATGTCATGATTGCGGTGAATGGACGGATCGATGTATGCATGCACGCAGCGCAAAGGCAAGAAATGATGTCGCGGCAGCAAAAGCCGAGAAAAATCGCCTCTCCTTTTATCCCCGATTCGATCTCCATATCTCTCTCTCTCTCTCTTTCTCTCTCAGAGACAGGAGTTGGTTTTCCATGGAAATGGGGAGCAATCGGTGGCACATTGTGTGGTGGGGAGGGAGTGAGGTTTCATGTTCATGGCAAAGATTGTGGTGGGGATTGGAGCGTCAGCAGATGGATCATTTTGATCAAAACAATTATTGAGAGGCAATGAACGAAGGCTCCTCTGACGTACTCATGGATTGCATGCGAGATCATGAGCTTCCTATGTTAGAAAAGAGATCAGTAGCCATTCTGTACACAGTCCTTTTTTTACCTCCTGCTACGGAACAAACAGGAGGGCAAAAGAGAGCCCCAGAAAAAGAGAGGAGAGAGAGAGAGAGAGAGAGAGAGAG